TGAGAAAATGATTGATATTTTGTGTCACGTGGGTCAACTTTGATCGGCTGCCAACAAATCATAAATGACTTTCCTCTAAACTCTGACAAATGGTTTAATCAACTTGTGGTCCCAGCATGAAGCCCACTGTGAAAAACACCCACTAAACTATTACAACATGGTCGAGTCAACTCCAGTGTCTCTCTACTATGGGCTCAGAACAGTCTCATAATACACACATGCACACAGAAGGATTCACACTTGTATTTCCGGATCCACACTTGCATGTGTGTATTATCAGACTGTTCTGAGCCCATACTCTACTGTAAGTCTGCGTCATAACCTGAAGAGCTGGAGAGATTCAGGCCTACTTGGCCCGGTGCTGGCTGCTGGTGTCGAATACCAGATGTGACACATGACACAGAAATGTTGTTTGAATAATTATAGTTTATTACAGAGTTGCGTTTGACAAAATGTTGAGTAGCAGGCAGGGCTAGATATTATAAATGGCCCACTGGCCCGGAAGCACTATCTAGACACCCCGGGCCAGCAGAACGTACTTTCCACTTGCCCGCTCGGGCCATTACAAATATTGCTTTAAAAAAACAGTAAGACACATCACATTGTCCTGTGGTATTGGTATTTTGACAAGCAATTTTGTTAAATAGTTTCGTTCATTAACGCTACAACATAGCATTTCGTGAGGCGGTTGTTATTGTTTGCTGCAGAGCACAGCGTTCCTTCATCACAGACTTTCGCGCCACCTAACCATTCGCCAACATGTTTTTTACAACACCGGTAACCAGCCAAGCGCTGCGCCGGGCAAAAAACAATCTTCAAATACAAGAATGTCACCGGAGGAGTTAAAGGAGAGTGACAGGGAGTATGAGAAGAAGAGGGAGAGAAAGTTTCAGCCACATCGATGGAGTTGGTTTCAATATGATGATATAAACAAGGTCTTTTGTCGGCTCTGTACATCAATGCCGACCTATGCTGACAAGTAAGTGAAGAGTAGAAGAACATATAAAAGGTTTATTGGCTATAGGGAAATGTCCCAGCAGTTTAGGATAATGAAGGTTCTAATCTAGCCATTACATGTCTAACTCCTGATAATGACAGGAAGGCAGAAAGTGTATTATACAAATAATAATACTCATAGCAGAAATGTTACCTTCCTTTTTTTCTTTAACAATGACCACAATATAATAATTGTAATAAACCAAATATGAACAATTGAGGAAAATGAGGAAGAACTGATTATTCAAATGTTGTAGTACAAGTAGTAATGTAGTTAGTGCATCAATTACTATTGCAACAAATGTGTTCATTTTCTTCATTATTAGTCGATTTCTGGACGAATGCTCCGGGCCAGTGGTTACAATGGTGGGGCCGGGCCAGTAGATTGTTACCCTTAATGTCTACCCCTGGCAGGCTAGCGCTGCTTTGCAAACAAATAAATAAAGATGTATTGGAAGTAGAGCGTGCTTCTTCAAAGTAATGAAATGTTTTTGCTCTTTGAAAAACGTATTCCACTGGGCAACTTTTACTTTACTTCACTTATTCGGTAAAGTCACAACATAAAACCAGCATCTCTGCATAAAACTAACCTCCACATGAGTAAATGTTGCAAGATTAATATTTCTAAGGTGAAAATATGGGGGCAAACTTCAGTGTCGGAAGACACTTTAACTCAAGTAATCTACTCAAGTACATTTGGAGGTATTTGTACTTTGCTTAAGTGTTAATGTTATGCTACTATCTACGTTTCAATGAGATTAGTTACCTTAGTAAGCGAATATTTCATAATACATATATTGAGTACTATATGGATGTTTGTAATGAATTGTTATACATTACAATTAATCCACCAAAGATAATAACAAAACAAGAGTATATCTTTCAGCCCCATTAATCATAAGCTAATATTATAATGTTACAACTAAACAGCACATTTGGCTGCATGGTGAGTACTTTTACTTTAATACTTTAAGTGCATACAATACCTGATACTTAAGCCTAATTGTAGATGCATGACTTGTATCGTAGCATCAATATTTTGACTCGGAAGTTAAAAGATGGTTATATTTCCACCATTGAAAGTCTGCAGCCCAGACACCCAGACAGTGCATGTCTGTGTCAACAAGCTAACAGGCTAGCTTGTTTAAAACTGGAACTTTAGCTTAACAGTGAACATGTTTAGTGTTTTTAATTACAAAGTTAGGAGGTGTTATATTATATATGTCACATTAGTCACGACCTCTCCTAAAATACAGCCTTGCTAACACCTATCCTCCCATTCAGTAAATTGTGTTAGCTGTAATTTAGCCCTTCATAGTGTTGAGGTGTCAGACAGTCAACAGATTTTCATTTTTCACGGTCAACTTGTATATATTTGACTATTTAGTTCCGTTTTATTTTCGTAGAGACAAAGCAAAATAGAGCTACGCTAGCTAAACACAGCCATGCTCACACATAGCAACCCATTCAATAACAGACAAAAAGAGCTACACTAGCTTACTATAGCCATGCTAACACATAGCATCCCATTAAATTACATGGACAAAAATAGCTAAGCTAGCTAACCAGAGCCATGCTCACACCTAGCATCCGATTCAATAACATAGACAAAGCTAAAAAGGAGCTAAGCTAACTAACCACAGCCGTTAGCGCCCAATTTGTGTTGTCCGGGACAATTCACCACGAGCGGGGGACGTGTCATCTATAAACTCACGCGGCTGTCAGTTGGTTGTTTTCCCGCGTTTCCACCTGTATTTTACTCACCTTTCCCGTAAAACTTTTTCCCGCTGGTCACATCGAAGATCTTCATGTTGACAGCCATGAGGATGCGGGGGTTCTGGAGCCCATCGTACTCCCCCAGCTGCTCCAGACTGAAGTCCCGTCTCCTCATCTTGGGCAGAGCCGAGGCCTCGTCGCCCTGGGCCGCGGACACGATGAGCCGCCTGCCCCACCGTCGGTACGCCGCCAGACACAGCGCCGCCACCAGAACCACAACACTGAGATTCAACAACATCGCACTGAGGCCGTACCCGTCGGAGGACTCTTCCGCTGCCCCCTGCCCGCCGCTGATGTCCACTGGTCCGCTGGAAGTGTCTCCATCGTCCGCCATACTGCACGGTTAGCGCCTACCCGCCCCTGGACAGATGCTGCGTTCACGTCCTGTCGGGGAATAGCAGGAACCACTAGTTGAGCGAGTGTTGTTACATTGTGTTCTTTGGTGCAACGTAGAGCTGCGTGTGCGTGTGTGTTAATATTGACGAGAGCTAACGATTACGTATATTATCAATTCTACTATCCTTCTGATGGTCTCTTTTCTTTTTCACTCAATGAATTGTGAATTATTGTGTCAACAGAATGTCAGCAAATAGTAAAACTATTTCAATAACTTGTTCCAGAAAGTCAAAGTGACATTTTACATGTCACAATGAGTCCAACATCCAGACCACCATGTACTTAGTTACTTTTAACTATCAAGGATGTGTAAGAACATCTCAAAATTAACATAGTTGAAAAGCTTGAACAGTTTTTTTAACACTCCAACTCAAACATTAATCCATTATGGATTTTATCAATACGAATAGCGTATGTTAGAAAAACAACATTATTTGGAATTTTATTTACACTTATTATTATTGTTAAACTTGTATTGGCTACACTCTTTTTGTATAATGCATAAGTGAAATCACCTGATTATTATCTTATTATTTATTATTAAAAAATAACCCACACAGAGTGATGGTTGCAGAATGCAGATCACTGAAAGTAAACTTATTATTCTTTATTCAGATGACGTTTAGAAATAATCATGTTTATTTATTTTGTGAAAGTGAGATGAAGGGGAGAGGGAAAGGAAAATGTACTAACATGAGACTATTTGACACATACAGTTAAGAAAATATAAATTAAAAGATGTGAATTTAGAGCAACCAACAACTATTGCTTTATGTTCAGGTATGTTATGTAATTATCACTCTATATTTTCTTTTATCAATTAATGTTATTATCTCAGTCTTGGTACTGCTTTTGGTATGCATGTGTCTTGTTTTGCATTCTCTTATTTATTGCTTACTACTTGCACCTATCACTTTTTTATTGACCTAATGTGTTTCTGTTCTATGAGGAAAACATCAATAAACAAAATGGTGTACGATGGAAAGTATTGCATGTGATTCAGATACTGAGACATATTTCAAATAAAGATTTCAAACACACAAAACGGATTAAACTACTTAACATTGAACCAACTGTACACAGCATCCCTTGAAAGTCCCATTCAGATCCACGTATTCCAGAGTTGAGTTTTACGAGGAACACTTGAAGGCAGCACAGCACACGCCTACCTCTGACTGTGCTGTTGATGTTTTTTGTCTCTCCATCGGGACCCGTAGTCACAAAGAACAACTTGTAAGAAAACTAAAATAACAGTGATTATAAATAAGTATTTTTGTTATCTTTTATTTTCTTAAACATCTTCAGATTTACTGAAGCTTTGAAATTGTATTTGTAAACGTCTAGCAGTATGACAACATGAACAGAATAGGACATTTTCAGTCTAGAACATGCTTTTCTAATACAATAAATGCCATTTTCTTTAATTGTATTGGCCTCCATATTTTGCTTAATGTTAAATCATGTGTTGTCTTTAGTTTTCTAGGTCACAATTCCATTTCCCTAGTTTCATCATTTGTATTCAGCTCTTATCTGAATGTTATTTGCACACACTATGTAAATACTTTTTCTTCCAAACTGCTTGTTTACTCTCTTCGAGTTGAAAACTGGTCAAAATGCACCGAGTGAAAAACATTCTTCCTTTTTGATTTAGTCGATTAAGATCAGTTTGTTTTTTATTTAAAGGTGAGAAAATCCTCCCTCAAACATTGTTGGTAAGAAAACCTGCTGATCAGGCTCGATGAGTCGCCCTCAGCTATACCTCAACATATTAAAAGTGAGATGAGAAATGTGCAAAGTAAGCTAACAGACAGAACAGATCACTCAAACACAGGTTTATACAATCAAATGTTATTTTATATTTTTTTGCATTTTACAATTCATGACTGTGGCATTAACATGCATTGCTTTATCCTAAATACACACTCAAAACCACACTACCAATAAAACAAAATCACTTCTTAAAATCAAAAAGAATAATCGAATAGCAAATGATTTTTTATAGTATTTACATTTTTTTTTCTTAAAGTTCAACTCTAAAACCTCTTTTAAGTTCATCGCTGAAGTAAAAGGAAAGTTAATGAATTAAGTGCTTAAGAGCACAAAGCCTCAAACATAATATGAAGTAAACTTCAAGCTAAAATAAACTGTAGTCTTATGATGCTAGCTTCACACCCACAATTACAGCAGAAACATTTCCTCTTTTTTTTTTCCATATATATAATATTCAATAGCAAAAGCCATTAAAAACTGCAATGATTACCTAAGACTAATTCCTCAAATCAAGTAAAAATAAAAACGAGAATAAAACAATAAATTATACTAGCTCTGGGTGTAAAACGGGACTATAAGTAAAGCTTCCCACATCATTTTGTCATTTTTTTCTTGCAGGTTTTAATTAAAAACCAACATGATACGTTTAGCTGTGAAGCCCGTCAGTGAAAACATCAGGACACATCTGATGAGCAGCAGCCTCGGGGGTCCTTCACAAATGTATGACTGCAGCAGTGATTGTCATGATAAAAAAGATATTAACGTCGTGAGAAAAGAAAAAAGCTGCAAGTGTTGTCAGTTTTGAACACATTCAAATGATGAATTGGGAAGACTTTAAAAATCTGAACTATTTTACCTCCTGGTGAATCAGATTAAGGCACACGAGACTATCTGCGTTATCTCTCATCTTGGCAAACTAGAATCACAGTTGAACAGGCGGAGAGCTCCATACAAACCAGAGCTCTTTACAGAATTTGAGATCAACGAAAAGTGTTGAAAGAGTTTTGGCAGAGAATAAAAAGGCAAAATGCAGGGAATGCATTTTTTTTTGTGTTTTTTTTTTTTGTGTATATGTTGTAAACGTTATGAGTGGCCAGGCGCACAGACTCAAGCTCACTGCCTACGCTTTGCTTTGCTTGCTTTAAAATGAAATGCACAGATAAAAACAATCATATTAAGTCAACCACGCTCAGTCTCTCTTCATACTCAAACACTTTTGCTACTGAAAAGAGCGAACGCTGATCTCAGAGCCGCCGTCGCCTCGCTCTTCATCTTCTTTCCAAACTCACACCTTCAGGAGGAGCTTCATTTGTTAGCTGCGACACTTTCCTTCTTCCCGGGCTCGGCCTTCTTCCCCTGGGCGGCGGCGGCTGTTTTCGGGGCGTTGTCTTTGGGCGTGTTCTGTGCAGCGCTGGAGGTGGTGGAGGATTTTGAGGCCGGCGCAGGTTTTGAGGTAGTGTTGGAAGGATGTCGCCGACGCCTCCCTTCATCCCCAGCCGAGGATGAGAGACGTCTCCTCCTGCCTCCCTCATCTCCCATCGGGGGCTGCAGGAAATACAGGTCAGAGGTCAATGCATAATAGGGCGGAAAACATTGAATGATCAACAAAAACAACAAAAAGATTCAACTATTTAGATAATCTATTACTCGTTATAGTCTAATATAATAATAAGTATAACGAGTGTTTTTAAATGTCATTTCATAATATGTTTCTTAATATCTTTCATTTTTGTAAAGCACTTTGAATTGCCTTGTGTTGAAATGTGCTATATAAATAAACTTGCCTTGCAAAAAAGGTAAAGGTAAAATCTTCAACCTCAAAATACATTTTATTCTCTTGCAGCTGTTCCTGATTATAATAAATATATTATAAAAGTTATGATGCTCCATCTGAAACCGGATGCACATGATGAGTTAGTGTGCACATTTATCCTGTATGTAAAGTATTAAATGTCTAAAAGTAGAGGTATAGCAGGATAATGTGCGAGATGATAGCTATGTCCATGTTTTTTCCATAGTCCAAGTAAATAACTTATATGTTCTCATTGTCACAGATTGTGCTGCATTGTCTCAATCCTCACCTGTTCAATGTTTCAGGTGTTATTGTATTGTAGGTGTTGTGATATTTGCCACTTGTGTTTTTCAGTCACACGGTATCATTCATTTCAGACTCACCATGACCCTGAAGTCCTCCAGGTTCTTGAACTGGGAGAGGTGCTCCTGCAGCTTCGGGTCGATGGGCTGGTTCTTCACCTTCGAGTATTTCAGGAACGCCCAGAACTTCTCCAGTCCGTACAGCTGACCTGCAGCACAATGCCCAACTGATTCAGTACAAATTCACTGTGTATGGTGGAAATATGATAGCGCTGACGTACATCATCAGCATTCTCTCTGAATTCTCCTTTTCAGATTGTATTACCAGGAGATTTTTGAGCTACATAGCTTACTGTAAAGTGCAATAATTGGTATGATGAATAATGCAATTTAAAAATACTCTTTCAGATAATAGCTTTTATAATTTGTTATGCTTTTGGTAAAATGGTAAATGGACTGTACTTATATAGCGCTTTATCCAGTCTTTACGACCCCTCAAAGCGCTTTACATACTACATGTCATTCACCCATTCATACAGAGCGGTACCACTTGCTCTAGGACCTAACATTCACACACATTCACACACCGTTGGCCATGCCATCGGGAGCAACTCAGGGTTAAGTATCTTGCCCAAGGATACATCGACATGTTGACTGCACGGGCTGGGATCGAACCCACAACCTTCTGGTTGAAAGACGACCACATTCCCTCGCAGCCACAGTCGCCGTCTTTTCCTTTGGTTGTTCATTTAATTATTAATGTAAGCTTCCAAGTGGTTCGTCATCTCACAGAAACAATAAGAAGCAGGTAAACTGATCTGATAAACGCTGTCGTTAAATTAACCCAAACTATTTAATTTAAAATAGAATATAGAGAAACTAGTCCCATTTTTAATGTTGATGAAGAATAGATTTCTCTCTCCGAAATCTGACACTCAAATGAAAACGAGGACACTAAATATTGTGCATTAGATAGTAAAAAGAGATTTAAAGCCATATTGTATAATGATCCCCCCGCAGAGACGTGCAATGCTTTCCCTTTTATCAGATAAAAACTGTGCTTTAAGATAAGAAAATGACTCATGTTGGCCACATCAATCCAGGAACCATCTTAATTAGTGCATCAATTATCAGTCCTCTGTGACTCATGAGAACAGCATCGAGCTGCGGTCCGACGCTATGAGTCGTTCGGTCTGTGTCGGGTCAGAATGGGAAACCAGAGCAAGTGAGCTGGAAATAAGCGGCTGCTGCAGTCTTTAGTGGCCGTCCTCCATTCTGCCTCACTGACTCACTGAGTGTTGAGATCCTTTCAGAAATCGACTTTAATCCCTTTTTTCCTCCTTTCACACTTTCAGCTTAGAGGGGGGAAATCTGCCCCGTGAACCTTTAAGTCGGGTCAAACAGGACACACGTTGGCATTATTTAGCATTAATAAGCTTGAAATGCCACACACCATAGTGCAGTTGTGTTTAGATGTGTGTTTAACAACTATAGCTCGTTATATGAAGCACGACAACAGCTGATGAATGTTTCAAACATATCTGCACAACCCTCCACTTTAGTTTGCCATACTGTCATTGTCCTAAGTGTTTTCGTTTTTTAGCTTTAACGGTTGTTTAATATATATATATATATATTTCAATTTGGTGTAAATTCTTGTCTTAGATTGACTTGGATTGTTTATGTTTGCACCACCAAACACCAAAGTGAATTCCTTGTATGCGTCAAAGTATCTGGCAATAAACTTGATTCTGATCTATTATATAATAGTTTGAGATATATATTATAAATCTCAAACTAAGGCCTTTGAATGATTTTAATGTAATTTGACAATGTCACTTTTTAATGAGGTGCCTGTTTCAAGGAAAGAAAGACGTTGTGGGTATGGGATGCCATTTTATTAAATTAATTAATAATAAGCATATTAAATATATGTATATGGAAATGAAATAAATAAATTAGGCTCCTAGCACATTCCTTGTATCTGCTCAGTTTAACTATATTAAAGCACTGCTACTGAATCTTTTCAATTCTTAATCAGAATCCCTTTATTAGTCCCACAGAGGGGAGCATTTACATTGTTACAGCAGAAAAGAGCCAAACACAGCTTAATGTTACCTTTTAATGTTAGAAAGTATTATTATTATTTGGTATTCTGTATATTTAATTTATTAAAACATGTTTTGTAGTGGTGTATACTCCTGTCATCCTCAAATAATATGAAGGTTTAGTTGAAACAAATACACTTTTTCTAAATGAAAGTTCTGAATCATATTTTCACAAATTAATTTGGATGTCCCAACTTCATGTTGCTTCATGGCTTCGTGTTTATGTGACCTATATTACAAACCAGAGTCCTGCATCGGGTCGGGTTCCCGACGGGTGACCCGCAAAAAAGGTGATTCGCGGGTGGTATTTTTTCAAACGCTTTTTTCCGGGTTCGGTTCTGGGTAAAACAAAGATGATGCGGGTCGGGTCGCGGGTGTTGCATAATAAATATATTAAAATAATAATAATTTAGTTTAAATCCTCAGACCTCTCCCCCGCGGGACTGCACATAATCATAACCTCTGCAGCGCATCAATCTGCTGCTGAGCGCGCCACATTCGAAATGGCTGAGGTGAAGCTCGAGCGGAGAATACAGCATTTTCAATAACACTTCCTCAAGAGCGAAATCCAACGTCTGGGAGGCTTTTGGTTCCTCGATGGAGAAAAGAACCAACATCCCACGCTTTTTGAGACAAATATGCAACTGCGTGTGTTAATAATTGCACGTTTTCACTGCTCATATATAGGCTATGCGTGTTCGGGTCGGGTTGCAGATCTTGTGCCGACGGGTCGGGTCGGGTTGCGGAACTAATTGGCAATATGTGCGGGTAGCGGGGCGGGTTCGGTATTGCACGTCGCGGGAGCGGGTCTTGAAAATCAGACCCGTGCAGGACTCTGTTACAAACTACTGCACCCACATTGGAAACACCCAGTTTGTGTTGACATACTCAAACAGTGACGTAACTTCATCCTGAAAATCTCAGTGAGCCAGTAGGAGTGTAAATATGGAGTTTGGGCGCTCTTGGTCACTTTCTGAGGGACATTACCTCTCTCAAAGTCCTTGAGGGTTTCTGCTTGGAAGTCCTTGAACAGCTCGGACCTGAATCTCTTCTCCAAACCGTAGCTGTAGTATCTGAAGAGACACTCCAGCCCGTACCTGCAGATGAGGGGAACAAATATTGAACAGCGCTGAGAAAACAAAGACAAGTAAACACACCCTGCATGTAAATGTTTTGTTTTTACGGGGAGGGTGTTTTGTGATGCAACTGTAAGCGGCTATTTTCCCACATGTAGCGCCAACAGCTCACAACAGTAGGAGCTTTGTCTCACTGCTTATTAATAGCTTTGCATGTCTCTTTAATTAAAGCAGAACAGGACTGACAAGTGAATAGTCTGATAAAGTCAACATAAACAGCTGATGGTAGCAACACTGTCTGCACACGCCCTCCCAATTATTCAGACAAGAATGTGGGTTTGGCCGGTGAGAAAAGATTTCTTCGGGCAGATAAACAACAATGTGACATCGAGGCAGCCCCCCCCCCGAATGCTGACCCTCTGCTGTCGAATAACAGTGGTCAAAAACTGCTTCTGCTTCTAACACAGAGGGAGGTGTAATGATCTGCAATTTAAACATTTGGAGAAGCAGTCAAGAGCATTTGTTTTAGACACCTGCAGGTCCGCTGCAACTCTGACTACTTTTAAATCCAGGCTAAAGACTTTTCTTTTTGTCGCTGCTTTTAATTGAACTATTCATATCTTAGACTGCACTGTAACTTTTAATGTTTATTTTATGAGCTTTTCTTTTTAATGACTGATTTTAAAATGCCATTTTCTTAATGTGTTTCGTTTTTTGTAAAGCACTTTGAATTGCCTTGTGTTGAAAAGTGCTATATAAATAAACTTGCCTTGCCTAGACACCAAAAAGTGAGTGGTGCATGTTATAATTAGAATGTTTTGACCCCTTTACCTTGCCATCAGACAAAGGATCTAAAGCTGTTCTCAGCTCTCTTCAAAGCCACCAGACTCATTGCCAAACAGTCATTTTCCCTCACAGAATACAAGAGTTTCTGCTCTCTTATGGCGCTTTTCCACTGCAACACGTAGCACTTTTTTTTGCTTTTCCACTAGGGCTAGTTCCGGCTCAGGGCTACTTTTTCACCTTTTTTCTGGCCCTCAAATCGAGGTTCTTACCGGACTGAATATGCTATACTAGTGACGTAAACACTCGACTGCTGAATGGTCAGAGAGAATCGCTTCATTTTCTACTGAACTTCAAACTATGGATTTGTACTTTATACTGATCACAACTATCCCTTTAAAGGGATAGTGGAAATTGAACCCCAAATAGTTTCGTTTTAACTTATATACAAGCATAATTACGTACCAAAACAATCACACCTGATTACAAAAATATAATAATTGCCTTACGCATGTTAGAAGCACTTTATTGCAGCTTCCCCGAAGTTTTTTAGAAACGAAATGTTCGACTCAGCCAAACCGGAAGTGACGAAAACTCAGGAAGACGAAACGATAACAAACAATGGCGTCTATGCAGAATGAACGTGGAAGGGCAAATATACCAGACAAAGAAGAAGGATTGTACGAGGTATCCAGTGATGATAGCGAGTCAGAAACATCCTCTCGGCTTTCCTACGAAAATGTCGTTTTAGGAACTGAATCTGAATCCGGTTCAGTAAGCGACGATGGTGACAATATTGAGCCAGACGATGGACCATTACGTCCTTATTTGTTCGAGCCCGAGGTGATGGAGTTAGTTCACGGCATGGGCAATGGCGAGGATAACCAGGAGCAGGCGCCAGATGATGCACCCCTACGCACAAATAATCTTGACTGGTAGGTCCCTAAGCATAGCTCACGGCTCGGCACGCTTAAAGCGAGCTACCCGCTGCAGTGGAAACGCGCCATTATATATTGCAAAAGTTGGCATGCATGTACTGTAGGCCTATGGCTATGCCCGAGGATGACTGCATGTAGGGTACATTTCATAACATACCAGGGTCAGGTTCACATAAATTATCTTGTCACATTTATTATTGTATATGTAACAGCCTTATGGGCATTAATTACATGAATAAATTGAAATGAATTGTATACTAGCATGATATACAGCTAGAGCCAATCGGTCTTTTGACGTAGTAGGTTCCTAATCCTAGGCTAGCCAGGCTGCCTGTCAAGTGTAGGCTATACTCACAGTACTGTTAGTCTATCATGTCTATATGATGACTGTAGTGTACACATTCAACACTGTGTACCGGATTATCGGATGACGAGGCCTCCGGTCGCCTAATCGACAGGCAATAAATGGCGTTGTACACAATGGTACAGGCTAATGATGCATTAAATCAGCTAGAAAACATAATAAAATACTCACTTCTTATGTATTCCACTTTCAATTTGAGCTAGAGACTGAGGAATCTCGAAACAATCGTCAGTAAAATGACTGCACACGACTGCCGAAGTACTCGTCAGCTTCGGCTCCGTGAAGTTTGCCCGTGTTATCTGAACAAATTTCACCCACTGACGACGAATGGCTGGGTTTCTTGGAAACGCATGCGTCGATACGCCATTCTCTGCATTTGCTGTCGAACTACAGCCATACAAAACACATCTATTCACCATAATAAAGGTCGGCTATTGACATGCAAATGCTATTGAATGTCCGCCATTGTTTGTGCCCGTCGTCCTTTGTTTTCGTCATCACCCGAAGATTCCCGACGATTACCGAAGTATTTCGTTTCATTGAGAGGGCGTGGTCGGGATCAGTAAAATAGAAAATAAAATGAAACTAGGCGCATGAAATTAAAAAAAATTGTTTATTATGCTTATTTTTAATAAAAATACATAAGTTAAACCCAAAATTCGCGGATTTCCACTATCCCTTTAACATTTAAACATCTATACATTCTCACCTGTAGTTGTCTTTGGCATCTTCCAGAGCATGCAGTTTGAACTCCTCATACATCTTCCTGTTGAAGTTGTCCCTCAGGAAGAAGGACCAGAACCTGAACAGCGTGTTCATCTCCCCCGACTGACCGACCCCCAGACGCTTCCTCTCTGCAAAAACATCGATTCAGTCACCGGAGAGCACAGAGAAAAAGCCTCGTCTTCAATACACAGGCGGTCACTAGATGATCACGATCACCAGTACATGTGGTGATCATGAGAGTCTGTAAACTGCTTTCAAAAAATGCTTAAAACCAATCTATACACTGTATATGGTCTTCTTTATTTGTATATGTGTTTATACCTATACATATGTGTTTTTCCCCCCTTTGAAGCACTTAACTTTGATTAAAAAAAAAAGGTGATTACTTACAAGATAGGGTTACAAGACCATAAACTCAATTTCTTTCTAGGTACTATATTCATTTACTTACTATGGTCACATATACACTGACTTAGTAATGGACATACATACACTTACTTAGTGGCTAGGTCATATATACACTTACTTACCTACTAGGTCATATATAGCCTCACTTATTTACTTACTAAGTCACCTATAAACGTACTTCCATACTTACTAACTAATATACACACTTACCTACTTACTAGGTAGTATATACAGTAACTTACTTAATTACAATAAATACACATATAATACATTTAATGCTCGTTCAGTGTAAACCTTCCTAAACGTGAGAGCATGTGAGGGAGTTTGTCCCGTACCATTAAGACACCGGCGGAGGTACTTGTGGTATCCCTGCTGAGTGAAGCCGTTGTCCCGCAGCAGATCGTGGGATGGATGCCAGAATTTGGGCAGAGAGTGGGGGGTGCAACCGTAACTTCCTGTCAGCGGAGCCCCTTCTGACGGGGAGGCGTTGGAGCTGCTGTAAGAGAAGGAACGGAGACGTTTCAGTGACATAGTTTATATTCTAGGATTGCTCTTATGTCAAGTTTATTAGTCTCACTTCTCTAATCTATCAAGGTTTATTGTTTTATTAAACCGGACTATTTATTACCCTGTAGTCAACACCAGCTGACATGTATGACTATTTTTATTATTTTACTGATGTGTGTTTAAGATAGCTTACTCTTTATATCGCATGCCTCTTTTACCTGATATGCCCCTTTCGCTGTAACACTGAACATTTTCAGGAATTCTGATTCAGATTAATCAATAGGTCGACTGGAATGAAATTGTTAGTCATTTTTAAAGAGGATAGCAAAATATATTTACAATTTCTAGTAGGGCTGCTCGATTATGGCAAAAATCATAATCTCGATTATTTGGGTCAATAATTGATATCACGATTATTAAAAACGATTATCCATTTACTTTGGAAACATCCATTTATTGGAAAAATGTGAAGAGTATGTTTTTAACAGTTGATTACCCTGAACTTTAAGTTTAATTCAACTGAAATACAACATTTTTTTTTTAAATTTAGATTATGTTGTTTTCATAATCGTTGCAAGCCAAAATCGTAATTGCGATTAAAATACGATTAATTGAGCAGCCCTAATTTCTAGCCCTTAAAACATGAGGATTAGGTGCTCTTCTATCTTTTCTATTATTGTAAATTGAATATTTGTAGGTTTTTGACAACTCAAGACATTTGACTATCCTGCGATAACTGAACATGAAAAATATGTTAGGAAATCATTACAAGGCGTTAAATATTAAAAGTCTTTATATATTTTTAAATAAATAACCATTATCTTCCCGAATTAAGAGGTCATATTGGTATATTGTCAAAGAAAACCTGATATTGTGATGATAAGCTCACAGTCAAAGAAACAGGTTTATAAGGTTAACATCCGCTACAGTTCAGCATCTTTACAGTGGTGTAGGAAAACGAGTAGTGGGACCTGATGGACGCAGAGCGGGGCCGGTGCTCCCGGGAGTCCATCACCCAGCCGATGTGAGCTTCCTGAGGCGGGTTCGAACTGTGGCGAGTCTTCTTCTTCCTCGGCGTCTGCTCCAGGGAAAAGAGATTCATGTATTACAAAGAAATGTTTACTAAGACGGGATATCATTTCTAATCTTTCAGCTACAGAATGTCTTCTGATAACTGGGATTCTGGGACGTATGTCAAGTTGAGTTGGCATTATTGATGGTTTGTTATAATTTAGAGACAGATAAAATAAATGCTTTATTATTATTATTATTAGGGGTTTCTCTTTCTGGCAAGACCTCTTTCATGCACATACTCAAAGTGGTGCAGAAGCCTCAGCCATTTTAATTCCGGTATTTCATTTAACCCGTTTTTGCTCTTATATGGGTGGGAGTGGAAGAGGGTAAGGCATTTTTGTCTCCTTATGTAAGTTGACTGCTCATACTTGGTATTTAAAATGATGAAACGAGCCCTTCAAACTCCGTCTGGTACTTGTGGAAACAGCAAAGTATTTGCAAATGTTGTCTGACCCTTTGTAACCATGTAAACAAACACATGTGAAACAAATAACTGGTCTGCAGCGTGTGCCAGGAGGGATATGCAAAGAGAGAGAGAGTCTGTAGTCGGGAGCCTGATGTCAGAACTGCACAAACAAAAGCTGTGAAATATAAATTGGATAGAATGGAAGTATTGTCAACGGGCTTTAAACTGGAATAATTTGATGAATAGTTGGACTTCATCATGGAGCAAATTTCCCTAATAATAGTGCTAATTCCATGTTTCACAATAAGTTGACTCGATGTGTATAAACAAAAACATTGTTGCCGTATTTATGCCTGATTAGATGTTATTAGTGTGTTGATGGAGCAGCTACAATGTTAGAATAGCCCTGATCGATCCCAACTCCTTTCAGGAAACAAACATTTTTTTTAAATGTGCTTGTCCATTGCGGAAAGAGACTTGAAAAAGTGTTTAATTCAGACTTTGGCAACATTTTGTTCAATTTATTGCAATTAAATAACAGCAAAAACTGTTTAATTTGGGTTAAATCCTCATTAATAAAACAGATACTGTAAGCCAAAGTTGAGCGAGGAAATGTTCCTGCCGATTTGTATGAACACGGCATTACATCCAAGATCTCCGACCGCAACACTTGGAGAGAGAGATCTGACCTGTCCGTCGATGGTGCCGCTCTCCTTCATGACGGGGTAGAAGCGAGGCGTCTTGCTGGGGTCCTGGCGCCCGGGGGTGCGAGGCGTTTTGGGGGTGCGGGGTTGGTGAGCGACGGGTGACTCTGGGACCGTAGCAGGAAGAGATCGAGCCATCTCTGCTCCACTGTCCACTGAGAACACAGCGTTCACACACAATAAACACATTCATATATTTCTTCCCATGGTCATGCATGTGAGGCCCTATTCGTTACATTACAAAGACCTATAGTTTAAGACTGATTGAAGTCAATAGCTGTTACAACACTAATATGATCGATAATGAGGACTACCAGGTCTTCGGCATCATTTGGCTAGCATGCATATGAATGTTTTTTTTGTAAGAGGGTTAAAGAACAGGGGTTTAACTTAAGCAAATATGTCAGAATGTTAATAAACAACAACAATTAATAGTTATTAAACACTAGTTAAATATTATATTATATGTGTGGTTAAAATACAGCTAGCACATCCACAAACCCACCTGGCAACAGAGGAGGCGAGATGTCCTGATTCGGCTCAACGGGCACTTTGGGGGCGAGAGTTTCAAACTCGTCTTTGCTGATGACGTTCAGCTTCTTAAAGCTCTCCACTTCCTGCAGGGGGACACACAGAAACACAATTCATGAATCTGCAAAACTAGTTGAAGCTAAAGCACCTGTAAAAACTGAGTTCACATTAAATACTTTATTTAATTCTAACTATTCTATTAAAAAACATCTGTAAATGCACCCATGTTGTGTGTTTTTTTAAAAATAATATTCTTTTAGTGGTGAAAAATAATATTAATTAAATGCCGTAGTTTGAAACCAACAGAAAAGGTAAATGTATTTGAGAGACCAAAAAGCTTTATTTTATTAAACTGAGTTAATAATAAGTGTTAATGCTGATAAACTCCAAATTGAACTCTATTATTAGTCTATTTTATTGCATGATGTCATTAACAAGTACGAGTAACATAACTGACACTCTCACTATTCCTGGACTGCAGTCAGATAATTAACCAATAATATTATCCCCTCTCAGTTACAGTGTATACTGATAACAACACTTGTGTGACACTCAGCAGTTGTGCCGCACTTTGAACAACACGTCAGCGTCTGAAAGAGAATCCAGGTGACCTTCCTCTGTGTGTTCAGGCGTGAAATTTCCCACATGTGGCGACATCAGTCCCAACCTTTGACCCGGAAAACGAGCCGACAGCTTCACAAACTCACCGTCAAAAAAAAGACATCATTCTTATATTTTGTGCATTTCCTAGCATGCAATTTAAAACCCTTGATATATATGCATAGACTTCTTGTATCACATTTTCTCTGGAGACTTTAGATAAAGCAGACTTTTAGTAAGTAAAACATAATAACATTATTAGTTACATTTTAAACACCAAGTGTGCAAAACATCCATCCATCCATCCATCCATCCATCTTCTCCCGCTTATCCGTGGTCGGGTCGCGGGGGTAGCAGTTCCAGCAGAGAGCCCCAAACTTTCTTTTCCCTGGCGACATCAACCAGCTCTGACTGGGGGATCCCAAGGCGCTCCCAGGCCAGCGAAGAGATATAATCCCTCCACCTGGTCCTAGGTCTACCCCTTGGTCTCTTCCCAGCTGGACGTGCCTGGAACACCTCCCTAGGGAGGCACCCAGGTGGCATCCTAACTAGGTGCCCGAACCACCTCAACTGGCTCCTTTCGACGCGTAGGAGGAGCGGCTCAACTCCGAGTCCCTCCCTGATGACCGAACTTCTCACCTCATCCCTAAGGGAGCCACCAGCCACCCTGCGGAGAAAACCCATCTCGGCCGCTTGTATCCATGTGCAAAACAGATGTTTATTAATCAATAAACATCTGTTCTGGTGTGGTTGACTTTTCATGAAATAAACCCTTAATTTGTATTACATTTTAAGGTAACGTAAAATCCCTGAACTAACGCTCGCCTTTCACTTAATAATAATAATAATAATAATAATAATAATAGCGCCTCACTTTAAAGTTTAAAAAAAAGAAACCGAGATATTAAAATATTATTAATTACTTCAGCAAATAAACAATGGCTATTAAACCTACTATCTTACTACCTATTTATTTATTTTGTATGTGTATCCCATGTTCTCTCACATAATATAATCATAAATGTATTTAAATAAGAATAACATAATGAGTATTACTGTTTATGTGTGTTATTGCATTTATAAGACTGATCTAACGTTTGATTTTGAATCCCCTGATTTATTTGACTTTTACTCAGTACATATTGTACCAGTGATGACAAAGCAATACTGAATACTGATCCCAGATCATTTAAAGTATTGCCAAGTAAATCTCTATTTCAATAAGATAAGATAACGCAGTGTGACCTGTAGACCGTGTTTAGAGACAGCTCCCCCCTCGGGAAGCAGCTGCGAGACACTCTTCAGTCTGCAGCTCGCAGAGTGAGGGGGCGATAAATTGTAGTTTATTTCTGTCCCGCTCCACAGCGAGAGATTTAACAGTTCTGTCACAAAGTCTTTAAGTCAGAGCGATCGGAGCGAAGCTTTAGGGAGGCGTCTGAAACTTTAAACTGTGCAGAGAACAGCCAAACTGCGACCTTTGTGTGTATTTATGAATAATGATTTAACTGTTTTTACTGACTGTGTCTTAACAGTCAGTAAAAACGTAACTGTGGCCAAAGAACAGAAGAGTAAAAAACATCGAGATAAAACATTTCACCGATCAGAATCAACTGTTAAATCGCAAAATGATGTTTGATAATGATTCTACATTTATATGTGATACCTTCTTCTGAGTGTCTTTATGGCATTCAAGTTTTGATTTGATGTTTTTTGTTTTTAGCTGCTCTCTTTTTCTCTAAAGCGCTTGTCAACATTTTAATCAAAGTTGTTTATACATTTTACTAAATAAAAATGTAATATTTACAAGTTTATTATTTGCATTATCTCCATAATATTAAATATTATTATATAAAATGTAGCATTTTTTGTCTGTTCTTTGTAAAAACAAATATATATAAAAGGGATTTAGGAAATTCAAATAGTGGAAAATAACCAGTAGGTTTAAAAACCCACATCTAATAGCTGTAGCCCAAATGTTCAGAAGCGCCGTAATTCATCGTTGGTCTGTACAAAACGAAAATGTAAGTTATATTATTTTTACTGACCTAAGGCACAATGAAAGCAAACTTGTTTTAATCAAATAACAGTTCAAGGAGAGTGAGCCTTATTTAGACTTGTGACTCATCTGATTGATCAAAAATGGATTGTCCGTATTTAGGGATGCTCCGATCGCCAATTTTGGGGAATCAGTATCGGCCGATACCGATCGCCGATCCGATCGAGTGGGCGGGGCCTATGGGGATCTTCCATTTCAAGTGATGTTTAAAACTCAGTTAATGGGGCTCATTCACTGGAGCTTCCACAAACAACCAACTTAATTATTACATTATTACATTATTCAAGTTTACATTCACTTATAATAATAACACAGGAGAAATGAGCGGAAGCGCTCTCTTTTCCTCTCTCCCTCTCTCTCTCCCCTGACAGCCCGTCAGTATCTCATGCAGCTCGCTGATCCAGTAATGACTGACCCGACAGTGAATAATAAATATATGTATAACTAGTTTAGCTTGTCCCAGAGGTAGATAAATAGCTAAGTGTGTTAGGTCTAACTCTTGTGTGTTTCGCTCCGCTTACCGGTCCGTCACAGCGGGCGGAGCTGCAGGATTTCTGCTTCACACACACGTTGCATACCACTATTTTACTGTCTTTTCGGACATCTTAAACTACTACCTGACCGGTGAAGCCATTTTGGCGAGCTTGTTTTGCCGCGCACAGAGAAAAGTGTCATGTATTTTACGTCATGCAATCGGCTCTCGCGATCGGCATTTTTAGAGAGCACCGATCGATCAGCAGAGAGTGAATATCGGCTGATATCGATCGGCGGCCGATCGGAGCATCCCTATCCGTATTGGTAGTCTTGAGGATGGTAAGTCTTATCCTCAGGGAATAAAGCACATGTTCATTTGTGCTCAACAGTAATGAATGTGTAGATGTTTCTTAATATGAATAGTAGCTTTACCGCTGCATGATGTGTAAAATCGAAGATATTCTATAAGTCAAAAATAGCACATTTTAGATAGTAGGATATTTATTTGGCAAAATCTTTGGAATAAAAAAGAGCTTTAAGTTCCCATGATAATTTGTAAGAACTGTTTTTATATTGATGCAATATTGGTGAGAGTTCAATCTGAATAAGGCTTCAGGAAAACATTTAACTCAAGACTATCTGAATGAAAATGTAACAGAATTTAGAAATATTTAGTCCAGAAGAGATTTCGAATGGGTCTTCAAAAGGTTATACAATAAACACAACCTGTATTAGACTACAGACAACTTCAATCATCCCCATGCCACAAATATAAGTTTAAATTAAGATATTTCAGCTTTCTTGAACAAGCTTTAACATGTTTTCTGTTTTTTTTACAACAGTAAAGAAAGACCATCTTAAAATTCAGTTTCATTCAACTTGAACAATAAGAAAGGAGAACACTAAATAATTAAACTGGGCCTCAGTGTGTCTGTCTCCTGTAGCTGAGCTGTTTATGTGTGTGTCTGTAACAGTGAGTGACCCCTCTGACTCACTGATGATGAAATAAACAAGGAATTCAGTGGTGAACGACATGTCAGCAAATTCAATAACAGGAAGTGAATCATTTTTCCAAGGCCGGGCAGCTGGACACAAAAAAGATACCCTCCATTTTCTCCGAGGCACTCTTGAGCCTCCCTCTTTTTCTCACAAGACTGAAATGTAGTGATTTTTAACTCAAATAACTGTCTTTGGAAAAGCTTTGTTCACTAATAGTAAAGATACAAATACCAAATAAATCAACTAATTATAAAAAAGCATGCATGACCTTCCTTTTTCTAACAGAGCAAGTCAATTCATCCCATATAAAGTGGTTGTGGTAAAAATATATCTTAAATGGTCGTTTTTTTTATGTGAAACATGTATTTCTCTTTAAAGTGAACTGAATCTAAAGACATGTGCTTATTTGGCTTCTATATGTTATTCATTAAATATAATGTGCTTATTAGGGCTGTCAGTCCATGAGTGGACAAATATGCTTTATGAAAATGTTTGTTTATTATCATTGGAACAATGACAAATATTCTCCTGAATATTCTCAACACAACAACCTGGAACCTCTCTCTCTCTCTCTTACACTCTCTCCCAACCCTGTGTACTTCTTTGCACTGAGCCAGTTGCTCAAACAGACTGTTTACAGTTGTCGGCGAAATCCCGCTCCTCTGTCTTCATCTCCAGTCAAAGCATGAGACTGAAGTTCCCACTGTGGGTCAAAATAATGACTGATGTGCAGTCGACACGTTGGATGCGGTCCGAATTATCTAACGCAGCCCCTCGTCCTCCACAATGTTAAGCTGTAGCCACCCATTTAGCTATCGCTGTTGTTGTACAGGCGTCTCCCCGGCAAACTTTCAAGCGTGGTCTGCTGCAAGCGAGTGGCAGGAGCGGGGCTTTCAGCATCAGCTGTGTGCTTGGCTTGACGTTTAAAACAACTTTTTTTGTATCCATATCTTTCGCTAGCTTCTGGGAAGTCTTAATGTTCAGTCCAGCGTCTTCAGACATGAGGTTGGTCTACATGTGTTCATCTGTCACATCTGTTCTCTAGCTCTCCACGAAGACCTGCTCAGACACGTTTGTTCCCCTAAACTGCTTTACTTTAATTAGCTGTCAATCAAAAGAGGGATTTACACACTTAAAGGTCAAATACTTGGATTTGGTTGTTTAAACTTTAACCTCATTAAAGGTGGAACCTTAACCCAGAAAAAGTTTATAATAATACTGGGTTCAAGTTGTTCTTAAGGACACAGGAAATATGAATATGTCACCTTTAAATGGCCAAAGAACAGAAGAGTAAAGAACAGCGAGATAAAACATTTCACCGATCCGAATCAACTGTAATATCGCAAAATGCAAAATTATGTTTAATAATGATTCTACATGTATATGTGATACCTTCTTCTGAGTGTCTTTATGGCATTCAAGTTTTTATTTTTTAGCTGCTCTCTTTTTCACTATCATTATCTCCATAATATTAAATATTATTATATAAAATGTAGCTTTTTTTTGTCAGTTCTTTGTAAAAAAATATATATATAAAAAGGGATTTAGGAAATTCAAATAGTGGGAAATAACCAGTAGGTTTAAAAACCCACATCTAATAGAGTGCCACGGTGACGCGTCCTAAAACCCGGAAGTAAGTTAGCATTCTTACCACTTCCGGTTCCTTCGACAAAAAGCAATTTCTCCATAGGATGTTGGAAAATAGCTGGAAATAAGGTCTGTGGTTGACACACATTTAAGAGACAGATCACGTTTTGTTCTACGACATTAAATACATCAGCTGGTGATTTTTGAAGAGTTTACGCATCTGAAAAACGATGGTTGTTAACAAGTGGCTGAATAGGACTACAGAAGTTGTCGAGGCCGTTTTACGTCATTACACCAAACACGTAAACACTCCCGCTAAGTTTGTTTTTCCCCGTGTTCTGCATGAAGCAAGTACCTGCCTCCTGCTAACTGTTCAAACAAACGCTTCAACTTGTACCATTTTGAATCTGTAGTTTTGAATATGGATCTTAAGTTGTGCGTGACGTTTATAGCATAACGTTAGCATTTTGTTTCTGGCGACTAGATTTATGATTCGAAAACTATAAGAGTAGGGTAGACATGTGGAGATTATCCGGCTGAACAAAACGTGATCCGTCTCTTAAATGTGTGTCAACCACAGACCTTATTTCGAGCTATTTTCCAAAATCCTATGGAGAAATTGCATTGCTTTTTGTAGAGGGAACCTGAAGGAGTTTACTTCCGGGTTTTAGGATGCGTCACTGCGGCACTCTATAGCTGTAACCCAAATGTTCAGAAGCGCGCTAATTCATCGTTAGTCTGTAAAAAAGGAAAATGTAAGTTATTTTCTTCTAATTGTCCCTCCTGAGACACCATCCTCCCCGTTTCCTCACCTTGAAGCTCTCCACCTGCTCCTCCTCCTTCCACAGGTCCTGCTCGTAGTAGAACAGCCCGTCGTTGATGGCCTTGGCGAGGTCGGTGGTGAACTTGGCTCGGGACTCGTGGTTCCCCGTCCGGTCTCCAGCGGGGTGCTTGCGGACGTGCGGGGGCGTCTGGGTGACGATGAGGATCTTGTTGACGTCCTGGTCGTCCATCTCATAGTCCGAGTCATCCTCGTCTGACCAGTCGGTGAAACGGTTCTTCCTCGGCGCCATCTGCTCCATCTCCTCATCGAACAGGAAGTCCAGCTCCTCTTGGACGGGCGCGGCCTGCGGAGGAGCCTCTTGGCTGCATGGAGAAGCCTCGCTGCGCTCCTGGAAACACAGACAGAAACACACAGTGATTAACAAAGGAACCGCAATAAACCGGATGGTTGGATGATGAAATTGAGAGTTAAATGTTTAACAAACAGTTTGATACTTTGAGGAAAAACATTTCATGCATGTTTTCGTGCAGAGAATTCAACTAGATTGGTGCAACTCTCACCACAAAAAAGCAATGAGACTTATGTTCCAAGATTCTGAATCGATTTAGAAAATAAAATAAAAATGCTTAAATATATCTGGATAACAGGCCATATCGCTTTTTATTTTTGATGTCAAATAAGTTGCAGGCCGAAAGATGGGCGAGGACAAAAAACAAAGACATGAACAGGAGGTACATAGAAAGACGATGTTATGAGAAACAGAAGAAGGGATGATGGAAGGGATGAAAAATGGATGATCATTCGGTACCTTTCCAGAGGGCTGTCGGTGGCGTTTCTCCACCTGGATCCAGGCGTCGGGGTCGGGCGGGGGGGCGTCTTTGTCGGGGGGGGACTCCTGGCTGGAGGAGCTAGGGTCAGCAGAGTCCTGAGACTCAGAGGATTCGGGAGGATTCATCTTCTCAGGCGATGAAGCTGAAAGGTCCAAACACATCACAGTCACACATCACACACCCAGACAACGTTCAGTTGAGCTTTGAAATCACACATCGCCCTGTCAGCTCACATTTAGCTACAGGAGGAGCTGAAGACTCAACACAGCACTGGATTCATGCTCATACAAATTGGTCTTTAAACTCCTTGCAGCAGGGAGGACAAGATGAACATCTCGATAGTTTTATTGTTTATGACACTTTGTATTTAAAATGTAAAGCATCCGGTTATTTAAATAAAACACACAGATGGCTAATATAGGAAGACATTACATTTTAAGATAGTGGTCTTATTTTGTCCGGCTCTAATGCTGCGTTCACACCGGAGGCAATGCGAATATTCACTTCGCTCTAATCGCATCGCTCTAAATGCTCAAGTTTCACCGCGGCTGTCAGCTGTTTACTCGCATCATTCAAACAAGACGCGCTGGCCAGTAGGCTACAACTACAACAAAATGAACATATTTTACTGTGATTTAATTGTAATACACATTTCTAAATTATGCCGAAGTAACAACATACTGATACCGGTTAGTAAAAAACATGAATTATTGCTTTGACAAGTCTGCAGACAGACGGCAGGCGAAAAACCTTTTAAAAATCGTGTTTTCTGAATGGAGGTCGGATTGATCAGGCTAAGCTAACGTTGTATACGCTCCGTCCACACTCATAACAACGGCCTACAGACATAAATAAACCAGCGACTGTATTCGCCATGACACAGACAGTCTGGTTTGTTCTTCTTTAACTTCTGTCCAGTTTCTGAACAGATATGAGGAGCTGTGATGTCTGTATGCTAACTGCTAACGGCTGATGTTTTCTGGTTGAACGTCAGTGACGGCAGGCTGAGATCCTCACCGCTGATTGGCGACCGCGAGATCGCATCACGCGAATATGACGCTCGAGCGGTTGTCGCGGCCCCCTCCAAATCGCCTCAATCGCGCCGCGGAATTCGCATCAACCGCTTCATACTCCCCGTCGGAGTGAATTTGCGTCTGTCCGCGTCTCTGCATTGACTTTACATCGCGCCGCCCCCAAACATCGCATCGTGTCCGGTGTGAACGCAGCATTAGAGTAGCTGCAGTTTTGCCAAATTTGTCTTATTTTTGCTGTTTTTTAAGCGATGAATATTAATGTATATTGTGGGGACACAGTAGGAGATCTAAAATGCTTCCCTCAACATTTTTGAAGTATGTGAATAAATATTGCACCTATATTAAAAAGGTTGATAACCTCTCCTAAAACAGCTGGTCACTGTAGTTTTTATCAAACAACGGGGAGGAAATAGTGCATTTCTTTGGGACTATTTTCAGCAGCGGATGAATCAACATCTGGTGCTCTAGTGAGTATTTGGGGATGCAGGAAGGTGTTTAAGTGATTAGGTCAAAATAAACTGCAGTGTGTTCATGGTAGTAAAGGAATTTGTCACCCATTGATGAAGAATAGCTCATTGATGTTTTTAGACAACAATGGAGCTCAATTCCACAGAGGAGGAAGATATAAAGTGCACACAGTGGGTGTTTCTCAATCTCGAGTAAAGCTGCTCCGGAGCCACTATTTCAAGCATACTACGTCATCGAGTGCCGCCGAAGGACTGTTCCAATGTCCAGCATACTTGGAATTCTACCGAGCCCGGCGTACTTCGTTTGGAGAAATTTCGAAGCTGCACATGTGTAGACTCCGGTCTTAAAATCCCCACAATGCTTTGCGCACGGACCAATTTCCCCAAATCTGTGGCGGAAGATGTAAGGCGGGGCCTCTCATATGACGCACACCTGCACACTTGCTCGCCTGTTCCACTCTTCGTTTTCCAAATGCTAGGAAATATTCTTGCCTCGCTTCTGAAGCAAGACGCTCGGAAGACATGTGCTACCAAGCAAGCGTACTCGACATTGAGAAACACCCAGTACATGTTTGACTTCTCCTTCAATCACCATGGCCTTTGACCCCTAACCCATCACAGTCCCCCTGCTTCCACTCCTACTGCTATTTATTAAATGTTTTACTTTATTATTTGTTTGTTTGTTTGTTTGTTCACCATGTAAAGCGGCCTTGGGTCCCTTGTAAGGCGCTATACAAATTTCATCTATTATTATTAATCTTCACTTGGTGTCTTAAAAGAGAGAAGAAGAAGAGGAAGAAGAAAAGTTGAATACTGACCGGAGTTGGTGGAGCTGAGGGTCTGACGGGGAACGAACTCGGGACAGTTGATGAGCTGGGAGAAGTCGGTGTGGGGGGATCCCACGGTGGCGGCGGTCGGGATGGGCCAATGCTCCGGGTCGATTTTACAGCGAATCTTACCGTCCACAATCTCCACCTCTTTACTGCCCTTCAGCGCCTGGAGGGGAATTTATTAGATATATTTGTTAGATTTATCAAAGACAGTTTCATAATTAAAAAAATCAGATTGTGGCAAGATGCTCATTATTATTTCCTGAGCAACATGTCATGACATCCACATCGGTTTGGTTTCTGGTTTGTTTTCCAAATTGTCAATAACAATGATACTTAAATGTCATATTAAGTTTTTTTGTTGACTTAATTTTTCTTGATTTACACTAGCTCCATTTATAAGATCACGAGGGCAAATATCTAAGACACAAAACAGGCAAACAAGGAAAGCGATTTAACATAACAACCGATGTTTTTCATGTTTATTTTCTCCACAAATATTATTCTTTACCTAATTATGGTTTTAAACGTCAATTCAAAAGTAAATACACTAATAAAGACAGTTATCGTGAGATCTTTGTGTACTGTATACATTTACTCTGGAGCCAAACAGTGAGTCCTCTGTGACTAGACTCAGGGACAGTTTCATCCCACAGGCCATAAGACTGTTAAACACTTTTGAAAGAACATATATAACATTCATCTATTTGCAACTCATATATATCAATATTCCAATAACTGTATATAGACTATTCTGCACAGTTTCTATCATATTCTATTTTATTTCTCCTTACTATTTTATCTGTTTTATTGTGTTGCACTGTGCCTGTGACCTACGATTTTCATTGTCATAACTACACTGTAGCTATACACACACATGACAATAAAAGCCTTGAAACTAAATTGCACTTATCCTCAGAGTTAGAACTGAAATACTTCACTACGGAGGGAGAAATAAAATGGTCCTTTACCTCCAAGATGAGGCTGACGTCGGTGGTGAGGGCCTGCACTCGGTGGAAGCTGGCGATGAGGGAGATGGGGAGGAAGCCCTGCACGTCCATCTTCCTCCTCAGAAAGAAGTCTCGCTCCAGGTTGTGGAGGCTGAAGTAGTATTCACTGCAAGAGGAGAAAGAGATGCATTCATTTACAAGATTGTGATATCATTAAAGTGTGAGCATAGTATTTACTTAAAGGAATGGTATGCTCATGACACTCATTTTTAAATAATTATCATCCGATAAAAACAGACCAGTCTCTGCCAGTCTTTTTTTTTTTCTTTTAATCCGATGACATTATCAGTGATTTCAAACTGATTAATTACCGAAATAACATCAACACTGTGGGCGGCGCCATTTTACCGGACGTGACGTAAACCATGCGTTTGGTTTCGAGGACACGTTGATGTTCATGTTATTTACTGTAGTTACTCTCTTCAAATATGCCTCATTGTATCGCGAAACATTGCCACAATTCTGATAGGAACAATCCACGGAATGCTCGGTTCCATCTGTTGCCAAAAGGTAAGCGTAGGAAGTACGTTCGGAGGCAGTGGCTAGCGAAATGTGGCCGGCCCGAACCGAAAGATCCTCAGGCGCATGTATGCAGCGAACATTTCAAGTTTCCGGACGACTACTCTGAGAGTATGATAAAACATAACATGGGATTTATTGAACAACCATTACTTAATGGAGATGCAGTGCCATCGGTCTTTCTGGTGTCATCACCGACCAGGACACCAGTTCGGCCAGTTGAGAAATCGCCCTCTGCAAGTGTGAAGCGACGGAGGACCAGAAGTAGTGCTCGGAGTAAGAATAAGGTCCATATAGCGTAGTACCGGCTAGTGGGTATTTCCCCCAGTTTTTCCGGCCCCATAAAATCGTGGTTCTAGGGCCAGGGACAAGGAGGCTGAGTATGCTAAACTAGAGAGGGAATCGCTAGCAAGGGTGGTACTACATGCATACATATCTAGTAATCAAAATCATTGTATCTACTAAGTAGTACTAAGTAGGCTCGAACCTGTATGGCTGAATTCCCCCATCCAATCTCTTCATATTGCTCAAAACTTCTTCCTCGGCTGACGAGTCCGAATTCAAATACTCCATGTTTTCGTGTGTTTACAAAGTGAACGCATGGATGACGTCACGACCATCACGTGACTACTGAAAATGGGCAAAATGGCAGCGGCCTGACGGAATATACAGGTTTTGATAAAAAAAGAGCTATAAAATCATTATTTACCGGGGAATATCGCTGATTTCTTCAGGGTATGGTTTAAACATAATGTTTCACTAAATACTGAAGTTTTGATTAATTATCTAATGAGTGGAGCATTCCTTTAATTAAACAAGCTCTTAATGAAGGTAGAGCAGCACTAAGATAAACATACTTGTAGCTGCTAACTGCAAAACAAGCGAAAGATAGACGATACTTTGAGAGTCTTTGAAGCTCTACGTTGTTATTATTTACATAGTGTTTGTGATTGTTATATCACATGTATATAGTGACTGCTTTGCATTTTTTTGTGTTAAAGTAATTTGCTCTTGATGACCTATCATGCAATTTTTAGGCAATAGCATAGGCCTCAAATATATAAAAAACATGTCTATGAAGTGTTTTGCTCAAAATACCAAACGGATCACCCATTCTAGCCATGCCTCATATCCCTCTATTTCACTTCCTGTTTCAAAAGTGCTGATTTTGCGTATAAAGCTTTAAAAAAAAAAAAAGTAGGAGGGAGCTGAGCTCATGCGGGAGATGCTACCGGCAGATACTGCCGTGATGAAACGCCATATCATGGATTATAAAGGATTCTTTCTGAAACAATATGGAGCTCAAAGGCTTTCTCTCTTGCCGGTTATACCACAAGGTGAGTTCCTTTTTATTTCCTGCTTCTTCACACACATGCTCTGTGCCGTACAGGTTAGCTCTGAGTGTTAGCGATGCTAATGTAAACACCGACCATATTACGTCCAAAACAGTCGGGCATTGTTTCTGATGGCAGCGTTTCTGATAGGCCCGTGGGTGTAAAGCCAGCCTACATTTCCGATATTACGTCATATCGGACGCAAATCTGGATCAGCTCCGTTGTAGCCCCGTTTTTAGAGATTTGGGTACGGAGGAAAAGAGAGAGGGTTTTATTTTCTGACGCTGCGTGAGTTCCCCGACGCACCGGAGACACATATTTATGTATAAAAGACATCAAAAAGTGCATTTTGCATGATAGGTCCCCTTTAAATTAAGAAGATAAATGAAACATTTTCTGGTTTTTATCTTCTTATTTTTGAGGATGGCTGCTTTTCTAATATACTTATAAATTGTACATTTAAAAAATGTACAATTTATTGACATTTGACAACTTTTTTCTGACATTTTATACCCTGAATCAAAAAATAATCAACTGATTTATAAATAATGAAAATATTTGTTGTTGATGAGTATTTTTAAATCAACATCTGTTGTAGCACATACAACAAATTATATTTTAATTTGAAAATATAAACAAATCTATATTTTATGTTAACAAAAAGGAGTTTAAGTTCTGTAAGTGTTCATGTAGGCCACAATAAATGTATACTCTTCTGGCAGGAAACCAAGACTGTGGGCTCTCCGGGTATCCCAGTTACCCCACTTAAAGTCACCACACACACTCCCACACAAACACTCTCTGTCTGTACGTGGCCTGCAGGCAGTGGTTGTTTGGTGGAGTAGTGCTGGCTGAGTGAGCAGCCTGAATAACGCTGAGGGAGACGAGAGAGGAGTAGACAAGAATATCCTCCCCCCCTCACTGTATTTTCTTCTTCTTTTTTTACACTTCCTCGCTCAGCCCTGCACATTATTCATCCCCTGTCTCTTTCGAAGCACTCAGACTATATTTAGGAGTCTACCTCACCACTCTGCTGCTGAAATGAGGCCAGCCTGTTAGTCAGAGCAGAGGGCACGGCGCCCCATGCAGGACAAACAGAGGAACTTCACGCCCTATATAGAGGGTGTGTTTACTTATCAGTCACTCTGTCACTCTCACCTGCTGCTACACCCACACACACACACACACAATCTCACATCTGCTGGTTAAAACTTAACTTTGAACACTTTCCACTTTGACCTTTTCTGCCATGTTTTCCCCACAGCCACAAAAATACCACGTCAACTACTAAGTGACGCATTTCAGCCTTTTACTATTTTATTTACAACTGAAATGAGTGCCGCCACAGGCATTTTATTAGTATAAAAACCATTAATATGCCAATTATTTACTCCATTACTAGTTTGCCAATAATGAATGAAAAATGTCCAGGGTGAAGTAAATCAGTAATGACAGAGGAGACTGTGAAGTCCACCATAGACGGACCACTTTGGGACAAAATGTACTCTCCACTAAAAAGGCAGCTCATTGTGGAATAGCCTCCCAACTGAGATACGGGATTGTCCCACTCTCAATAGTTTTAACCTGTTAAGCCCCAAGCCTGTTTTTCAGGTAACGTGAGTTCTGCGCTAAGTGTGTTCGCTCAGGGCTAATTCAGAGCCTTTGTTATTATCCTTATGTTTCGTTTTGCTAAAAATTGTTAATTTTGTCTGATAGCTGAGTTTCTTCCCGTTAAGTGGGTATGACACATTAATAGGTTTTGAAATGTTAAGAAGCCCTCAGACTCTGTTTCTTGCAGATGTTGCGATTTTCCCCCCGCCCGTGGGGGAATGGGGCTTAACAGGTTAAGCGCAACAACTTGTGGAAAGGACAATGACCTCTTTGTTACTGATTCTTAATTACCCTCTTTCCCTCCAGCTGCAGCAATAATTCATTATATAAATGTCTCATTACAACAAATGGTTGTTTAATTGGTCTAATATAAACCTTGGACGTTTTATAAGTTGTGGGCAAGGAAAACTATTATTTATATTAGGGTATGAATGTTGCCCCTCGTGGAAGTTGTATGTATTTAGGTTTTTTACTGTATTCGTCATCTACTCACATTTGGCGTTTGATGTAATCTTTAAGAAGCTTTTGGTCCACCGAGTACATCTGGACCTTGTTGCCGTCGTCGTAGTAGTAAACCATGCTGGAGCCGAACTCTGAGGAGACCTGGACCGAGCCGTCGGACGACAGCGTGTCTCGGGCGCTCTGAGAGTATTCATAGCGGCCTGAGAGCGCAGGAGAAACAGAAGATATATGAGAAACTATAACTGAAATGTTGTTTCCTGGTAAAGAACGTGAAGGGAAACTATTGGCAAAGACACTAGCATATATTTTTGGGAGCGTTTAGTGATAAGGCAAAAGGACAAAAGTATGTTTTGGAAATTAAACCAAAATGCAAAACTTGCATTAAAAGTTCCCTATTATACTGTTTTTCATCAATATATTATAGGTCTCAGATATATACAAAACATGTCTCTGAAGTGTTTGGCTCCAAATACCAAACAGATCATTGCAACATCCCATAATCCCCTCTGTTTCAGACCTGTTTCAAAAGTGCTGACTCTCTGTCTGTTACTTTAGATGAAAGTAAGGAGCCACTCCCCACGCCCCTCTGAAAGAGATTTGGTTACAAAGAACACAATGGTGCTCTAGGAGGAGATTCAGGTGATAAGGGGGGGGGGGGGTTACCTTGGTTGGTGATTGGCTAATGGTTACACAAGCCAAAAAATCGTTATGACATCATAAAGTGGCCAAAATCTGATCAGCTCATTTTCAGACAGGTTTTTAAATGGATCAGGACAAAAAGAGAGAGAATCTTTTTTTCCTGAAACTTTCAGAATCTCTTTACACAGAGGGGACACGAAAAAATAGAAGAGACATGAAAAAGTAGATTTTGCATAATAGGCGACCTTTAAGATTTTTCTCTTATGTTTTCTGTGTGAATGGATTTATCTGGTATAAAAAGTCGTACCTCTTCCACTTCCACGTCCTCTCCCGCGCCCACGACCTTTCCCTCGGGCTCGTACTCCTCCACGGACGCTGCCGCTGTCGCTCCGCACGCTGGAAGCATCGTCCGCAAAGTCCCGCGGCTCTCTTCTCCAACCTGAAAAATCAATCATAAAATAAAAGCTTTGTGTCAAATCTCACAGATGTTTTCAAGTTCAGGTCTTTATACAGACCTTCAAAACAAAAAGGGGCAATACATTTATACAAATATAATGCAAGATATAATCCTTATATTTGAAAAAAGAGTAAATATTTAAATCATTACAAGTTCTTGTTGGTTATTCTCCGCTGGATTGACTTATCAATTAATAAACTTAATTCTGAATGCAGTTACAGTACTGGTGATCACAGGGGGAATTATCTAATGTCTTATTCAGGTTTTACTTGGCTTGTATTTCTTATGTGGATTTGTATTTTATATAAAGAGGACATTTAATTTAGTTTTTAATACCAAACAATGGTAAAATAAGAGTTTATTTAGAACTTCTGTGACCATCAGAAATGTTCCTTTGCACCGACTCAATTAGCTAAGATCTCAGGCACGAGGTAAAGATAGTGTAAAATATTATCTTACTTACAGAAATCATATGATATCGTACATTATATGACCCTCTTCTCTTTTCCTGCCATAATAGTGACAAACTCGTATGTGTAATGTAAGCTGAGGTCAAACAGGCTTTGAAACTTGTCTCTGCAACAAAAATTAAACAAAATAGTAAAAAATATATTTTAACTTACGTTATTCAGTGATTTTATTTTATTAAGTTTTAAAAATGTATGCTTTGCTTTTTTCATTTTTATTTACAAATTACTTTATTGTAACATTTTATTAAGTATTTTGATTAAATAGTAAAAAAATATATATATATAAAATGTTTGATTATTATATTTATCAAGATTTTACTTGAAACTGTTTGATTGCCATTAGTTTTATTTTAGATTTTAATTATCAATTGTAATTTCTCACGGGCATTGGTCGAAAATTGCGCGTAGTTTTTGTCTGTCTCATTTTCGGCTCGTCGGTCACCTGTGAAGCTCATTGAACTGTAATAATGTGCTAAACAAACATTTCATTGATGAATTGATCAATTCATAGATAGAAAAACATATTAAAGATTTTTATTTGGTTAGAAGAACATTCACTTTGCCCACAGCTTAATAATTATTCCATACTTTCACCCTGCTTAGCATTAGTATCAACTAAAAGCGTGCAGAAAAACAGATAGTGGGGGAGAGAAGGTGAGCAAACACAAAGTGGAGCAAACAGAGAGAGAGAGAAGGCGGGGACAGAAAACTGCGGAGCTTGCATTGTCACTTACTCCTGCTGCTATCATGCGCCTTGTTATTATGGAGTGTGCGATTGGGCGATGTGGGGTCGGCGGAGTCGGTCTCCGTGTCGCCGCTGGACGTCTTCTCGCCGTCGTCCCGGGACGCGTCCTCCAGCGGCAGAGACACCCACTTACGTTTGTTACCTGGCGATGATTGCACACCGGAAACAGAGAGCGTGAAGAGCTTTGTTTCCAAATAAACAACGCTGGAAGTGTCTCTAAAATAACACTTTCTATCTGTAGCAGCCTCAAAACATTCACCTTGACATACAACTCGAAACCCTTTGAACGACTTTTAGAAGGAAATGTTAGCTGTATTCAGCCTCTTAAATATGGAAACGCCTTCTTTTCTCTGTTTAATATCATATTAAAGTGAATATATTTAGGTATTACACTTAAAAAACAACACAATTAAAGACATAAACCTGGACTTTGTGAAACTAGGATGAAAATGTCCACTATTTGTTCCAAAGAAATGACACTGTAAACCCGGTTTGGAACAAATGAAATCATCAATCTGTATCTCTACAATAAAGATACGCTGGTTACTAAATGTCCTGACTATTACATTTCATTTCATTTAGCTGACGCTTTTATCCAAGCGACTTACAATGACCAATTACAGGGACATTCTCCCTAGAGTAACTAAGGGCTAAGTGCCTTAATCAAGGGCACACTAGTGGTGGTGTTCCAGGCGGGATTTGAACTCACAACCTTCCGATCTTCAGCCCACCTCACCACTAGCAGCTTCCTTTCACCTCGACATTGAACCCAAAACCCTTTAAGTGACTGAAAAAAATCATTATTTACCATTTTCAGCCTCTCTGTGGTTAGCTTAGCATAATGACTGGAAACAGAGGGAAACCGGTAGCCTGGTGCTCTGTCCAAAGTTAACAAAAACTGCCAACAAGAAAACTCTATACAAATATCTGTACAAAACAAATCCAAGGAGTAAATTAAATGACAACTAACTAATCACAACCAAAAATGTATACACTTTGTCTTCAGTATTAAACAAGATATTTAATTTGGAAATGTTTTGGGTGGATTTGCTCAAATTGAGGGTAAGTGGTTTGACACACAAACACAGTTTTAAGAATTTAAAATCCTGTGGGAATCTACTGTGGGTGAACTCTTCACTTCCTGTGTGGATAAAGATACTGTGGAGCTCATATATGGTGTGTCGTTTATTCGCCTCAACAAAGATCGTTACCTGTTATTTTGTTTAAATGTCTATTACAAAAGTTGGAAGCGAATCAGATGCGAAAGTGAGATAATCAGCAGAAACCATGCACCCACCAATTCGATCAAAACAGTTTCAACATGCTCCCTCTGCGCAGCAATCAGTGCAGGTCATCTCTGTCCAGGGAAAACATTCATCTCCTCATAAAGTTGTATTTGACTCTAGAGCTGCAACTATTAGTCTATTGGTCAAAAACTGGCTCAACAGGGATATAAAAGACAACTATTTTGATAATTGATCAATTGTTAATGTATTTTTAAAACAAAAACGGCAGGAAATTAATATTTTAGCATTTAAAATATGGAAAGGTCGGTTTTTTTCTTTTTAAATAAATAACTACAAAATATTTATTATTTTTTACTCTTAAAATCAGGACATTGTAAGTCCTAAACCTAGACTTTGTAGAACTAGAGTGGACATTTGTTCACTTTTTATTAATATTTTAAAGATCAAACCGTTATTTAATACCTAAAACTATCTTTAGATGCAGCCCTTGTGAAATGTAAGGCAACATTTAAAACCTTAACACTTTAAGACTCTTTTATTCATCTAAAAGTTGAAATTCTGGAGATGAATGATTTCACAGGTCAGAGATGAAATGTGCGTTAACCAAACTTTGATTTGAAGCTACCAAAATCATCTTTATTCATTAAAAAAAGATGCCGTTGATCAAGGTCAGATAGAAAACTCTGCTCACCTTCCCCTCCTCTCTTCTTCAGGCTGCTGCTCTTGGCGTCGGGTCCCACTTTGGACTCTGCGTCTTTGGGCAGCTCAGCGAGCGCGTCGGGCTGAGCCTCCTGGTTCTCTTTACTCTCCCCACCGTCATGGCTGCTCTCCGACTTCGTCTCCTTCTCCCCCTTGCGTGTGACGGGAGGCTTCTTCCCGTTGTTGAGCACATTTTGTTGTTGCTGGAAGATCATATTTGGAGACATCATGTCGGGCTAGGCAATAAGTACTTATATCAATATCCTGATCTAAGACTTTGGATAATTTGATATCACATTTTCTTTATAAAAAAAAAAGAATTCAGTGAATTGGTGTAGATTTCTGAAGACTCCACTGTTTTATTATTCTACTTTACCCACTGATTGAGCAAAAGGCTACACAACAAGTTTTTCTTACAACATTATAGAAAAACTATGTTCCAACAAGATACTTGAAAGGCATTTTTTAGCTTTATGTGATATCAAGCACGTAACTTCCAAAATGTGGCCTTTTTAGAAACTTAAAAAAACAACCTGTTGTACCGAATCCTAAACAAAGACTTATGGTTGCAGTGCTCCATCTAGTGAGCAGAAATCAGATAAGCTGCAACCAGCGGAAAACAAGCACGAGTGGTTGCCTTTAATATATTTGATTAAACTAACGTCAGACACACACGCACCAACAACACACACTCGCCTCACCTCTTTGGCCAGTTCACCAGGAGTGGGCCAGTTTGTGATGTCGCTGAAGTCACCCGACTGTTAAGGAAAAGAAAGAAAAAACACATTAACAACAATTCATTAATTTTGAACCCCGTCACATTTATCGATTTTGATGTTTTTTAACGCTGTGTGTGCGCGTGAGGTGGAGCCTGAATGTGTTTCTAGTAGAAACCATCGTGGGGAAAAGGAGGTCAGTGCTCCGTCTGTCGAGAAACAGCAAACAACTACGATAAAAAGTGAATGTGGTACATTTGGACAGCCTGATATGGGATCAAGGTTAGAGTGACGAGGGTTACAGTGAAACTGCACCACAAGTAGGGCTGCGTTTTGGCAACAATCTGCCAATATGATACAAAATATACGGCAGTTGCATTTAAATTACAATAGAAACTAAACTAAAATACTTTGAAAACATGTTCTATTTTTACCTTTCGTTTGGTGTATTTTGGTATATTTTAAACTTGTTTCTTTAAATGTTATAGTGTGTATTCTATAAATAGCTATATCTCTTCCTGCCGTTGATAGGTATATATTTATTTACTATTTAAGTTTTTCTTGACTGTACACAATGCCTTGGTGACCTGTGCTTCTGTAACAAAATAATTTCTAAATGTCGTATTTACTGCAATACTTCATTTAGAAAAGGTTAAACTTTTTGGACTTGGTATACAAAATGTGCTATTTTTATTTATTTTTTTAATCCAATCTGACTGAATCTTGTTAATGTTTAACTGACACACGTCATGGCTTTTGACTTTAAAATGCAATATTGATTTTAAACAAACAGGTTGGTCCTAAAAGTATGTGAGTAAAGTGAGGCCTAAATAAAGCTGTCATCTTTGACATTTGGTCAACTTTGAAAATGTCAACAACCACAAAAAAGATGCATCAGTGCAAATTTGCAGAATGAGTGGGTCCTGTTGTAGCCAAATCAATTAAGTGATATTACAAATATATTTTAAAAAAGTAACAAGTATTTGATCTGTCAAATTAAAAAAGAGACACAAAGCTGATGTCCCCGTTTTAAATTCACCATAACCTGTGTTCATTTAAATCCTGACATAACACCAATACTTGTTTTCCTCAACCCATTCATTTAATTCCCCTGCAGTGGAAAAACTGGTTGTAAAAGCAACAAAACAGCCAACTTTATACCAGCTAGTGTTTCACATCCTTCATGTCAGCGGCTGGCAGAAAACAAAGAGCTGCAACATGAAACCCTAACACACAGGATTGTTTATTTGCATGTGTATCTGTCAAGATCTGTCTGTGTTGTATTTTGTCTCGTCTTTTTCTGTCTTTTGTTTCATGTTTTATTTTGAAAGGTCTTCACCTCCTGTCTTGCCTGTTTCTGTCTTGTCTAGATCTGTCTTTGGTTTTCTGTCTGCGTTGTGTCTTGTTTAAATCTGTCTGTGGTTCCCTGTCGTTAGTTTCCCTGGTGTTTCTTATTACCCGATTGTGTGCACCTGGTGTCCCTGTGTTTTCTCCTCCCTCCTCACCTGTGTCTTGTTTGTATAATTAGTCTTGTGTGTATTTAAGTTCTGGTTTTTCTGTCTGTCTTTGTCGGTTCGTCTTGTGTTATGACCTGGTCTTCGGTGAGTGTTCTGTTCTGTCTTTGTTTCTAGTATAGCCTTGAAATAAAGGAGATATTTTTTACACTTAAATCTGCATTTGGGTCCTGCTTCCTGCACACACCGTAACATTACGAACCGACCTGAGATATGGGCCCAGCATATCCGTTTGAGCAGGAACTATTGGATTATACCTTTTCTTTGTCTGACTGCGCTCATCGATGGATAGGAGCGGTCAGGGTTCAACAGCGAGATGCTGCTCTGGAAGAAGCATTCAACCTTACAATGAAGAATCAAGATTTGGTTAAATTCTTACCTGCCTGGCTTTTGGATTACCTCACGGTTTGTTTTCCCGATCCTGATAGACCCAGGTCTCCCAATTCCCTTTTTGTTACCACACGCATCGGTATGGTCCGTCTGGCGTCAGCCCCTGCTTCTCACCCAGTGTTTGCTACAGTCCAGGAGCCATTCGCTGGTACTTGTCTGGCTTTTGGAGGTCCACGGAGCCTCCAAACGGCTCCTAAAAGAAGGAGTCGCAAGGCCAGGTTAGCAGCACGAGCCCAAAGTGCCATGGTTCCAGCCCCAGCAGCCATGGTTCCAGCCCCAGTTCTGGTCCCAGCAGCTATGGTTCCGGCCCCAATTCTGTCCCCAGCAGCCATGGTTCTAGCCCCAGCTGCCATGGTTCCAGCCCCAGTTCTGGCTCCAGCAGCCATGGTTCCGGTCCCAGCAGCTATGGTTCCGGCCCCTGTTCTGGCCCCAGCAGCCATGGTTCCGGCCCCAGCAGCCATGGTTCCGGCCCCTGTTTTGGCCCCAGTAGCCATGGTTCCGGCCCCAGCAGCCATGGTTCCGGCCCCTGTTTTGGCCCCAGTAGCCATGGTTCCAGCCCCAGTTCTGGCCCCAGCAGCTATGGTTCCGGCCCCAGCAGCCATGGTTCCGGCTTCAATTCCGGCTCCAAAGCCGGCCCACACAGCCATGATCCAGGCTTCAGCTCCGGACCTTACAGCCATGTTTCCGGCTCCAGAACTGGATCTTACAGCCATGGTTCCGGCTCAAGTACCGGCCCCAGCAGTCATGGTCCCGACTCCGGCTCCTCGTCACCTGTTGACTCATCGGCCGACGCCAGATCCCCGAGTCCTGTCGGCATACCGGCCGACTCCAGCACCTCGTCTCCTGCTGGCTCTCCGGCCGACGCCAGCTCCCCGTGTCCTGTCGGCGTACCGGCCGACTCCAACACCTCGTCTCCTGTTGGCTCTCCAGCCAACACCAGCTCCCCGAGTCCTGTCGGCGTACCGGCCGACTCCAGCACCTCGTCTCTTGTTGGCTCTCCAGCCAACGCCAGCTCCCCGTGTCCTGTCGGCGTACCGACCGACACAAGTTCCCTCTCAAGTCCCCTCTAAAGTTCCTACCCGAGTCCCCTCTCAAGTTCCTACCCGAGTCCCCTCTCAAGTTTCCTCTCAAATCCCCTCTCGAGTCTCCTCTCAAGTCCCCTCTCGAGTCTCCTATCGAGTCCCCTCTCAAGTCACCTCTCAAGTTCCCTCTCAAGACACTTCTCAAGTCACCTCTCGAGTTCCATCTCGAGTCTCCTCTCGAGTCTCCTCTCGAGTTCCCTCTCAAGTCACCTCTCGAGTTCCCTCTCTAGTCCCCTCTTGAGTCTCCTCTCGAGTTCCGTCTCTCGAGTTCCGTCTCTCGAGTCCCCTCTCAAGCCCTCTTAAGCCCTCTCTCGAGTCCCCTATCGGGTCCCCTCTCAAGTCACCTCTGGAGTCTCCGTTCAAGTTCCCTCTCGAGATTCCTTTCAAGTCAACTCTCAAGTTTCCTCTCGAGTTCCCTCTCTCTCGAGTTCCCACTCAAGTCCCTACTCATGTGCCGTTGGAGGTCCCGCAGACTGCTCTTCTGCCGGGGGTCCTGCCAACCTTATGTCCTGTACCGTTGGAGGTTCCGCTGGGGGTCCTGCCAACCCTTTGTCCTGTCCCATTAGGGGTCCCGCCGACTACTCTCCTGCCGGGGGTCCTGCCAACCCTATGTCCTGTCCCGTTGGGGGTCCCGCCGACTACTCTCCTGCCAACCCTATGTCCTGTGCCGTTGGAGGCCCCGCCAACTACTCTTCTGCCGGGGGTCCTGCCAACCCTAAGTCCTGTGCCGTTGGAGGCCCCGCCGACTACTCTCCTGCCAACCATGTGTCTTGTCCCGTTGGAGGCCCCGCCGACTACTCTTCTGCCGGGGATCCTGCCAACCCTAAGTCCTGTGCCGTTGGAGGCCCTGCCAACTACTCTTCTGCCGGGGGTCCTGCCAATCCCTTGTCCTGTTCCGTTGGAGGTCCCGCCGACTACTCTTCTATCGGGGGTCCTGCCAACTCTATGTCCCGTGCCTTTGGAGGTTCCGCTGGGGGCCCTGCCAGCTCTATGTCCAGTCCAGTTGGAGGCCCCGCCATCTCCTGTCCTGCCAGGGGTACTGCCAACTCCTGGTCCTCTTCCGTGGGGGATCCTGCCGAAGCCTGTCCCACCGGCTCCGGTTCCCGTTCGGCCGACACCGGGTCCTGCCCGGCCTCCGGAGCTGTTTGGCCTTCGCCCCACCCTGAACTCTGCCTTGCCCCCGGGCCGTCCGCCCGAGTTCCCCTTCCTTGAACTCTGCCTTGCCCCTGGGCCGTTCGCCCGAGACCCCATCCTTGATCTCTGCCTTGCCCCTGGGCCGTCTGCCCGAGACCCCTTCCGGGTCCTCCGCTGTCAGCCCAAGCCCGTCCTCCAGACCCCCTCTACCCACCCTGTTGGCCTTAGTTTTGTGTCCCTCCATACACCTTGCTGGATTTTTTTTGGGACATCTGGGATCCGTCCCTTGAGGGGGGGTACTGTCAAGATCTAACTCTGTTGTATTTGGTCTCGTCTTTTTCTGTCTTGTTTCATGTTTTATTTTGAAAGGTCTTCACCTCCTGTCTTGCCTGTTTCTGTCTGTGTTGTGCTTTGTCTTGTCTAGATCTGTTTTTGGTTTTCTGTCTGCGTTGTGTCTTGTCTAGATCTGTCTTTGATTTTCGGTCTGCGTTTTGTTTTGTCTTTAGATCTGTCTGTGGTTCCCTGTCGTTAGTTTCCCTGGTGTTTCTTATTACCCGATTGTGTGCACCTGGTGTCCCTGTGTTTTCTCCTCCCTCCTCACCTGTGTCTTGTTTGTATAATTAGTCTTGTGTGTATTTAAGTTCTGGTTTTTCTGTCTGTCTTTGTCGGTTCGTCTTGTGTTTTGACTTGGTCTTCGGTGAGTGTTCTGTTCTGTCTTTGTTTCTAGTATAGCCTTGAAATAAAGGAGATATTTTTGACACTTAAATCTGCATTTGGGTCCTGCTTCCTGCACACACCGTAACAGTATCCATAACTTAAAAAGGGATATTCATTTTGTTTCAACGTCTATTTAAACGCAGAGACATTAGGAATACTTACTTTCAATGTGTATAGCAATTACTCACGCCTGTAAATATATTTTTATGTCGTTTTTCTATTCTTAAAACTCAGTCAATATTTACTGTAATTAATTAATTGTTTTCTTTTTTTTTGTTAACTGTAGAGGAAATGAGATAAATACACATTTTCTTCAAGAATTCAAGGTCACAGGACGAGTGATTTATACACTGATGATCATTTTGGAGGTGAAATATCCTTTTAAACAACAACACAAAGTGGGAGTGTGTGTTTATTTTACAGTGTGGCTTTAGGATTTGTAATCAAGATTCAGACATGTAATCTCCCCACATTGGGGACATTTGAAACACATTTGAAAGACATTTGAAAGATGAAGCAGAGAGCGTTTACCTTGCTGGATTTTCTCGTTCTGGGCTTGCTGGGACGGACCACTTTCAGAGCGTTTTGTTGATCTGCAGAACCAATAAATATAAGTGACATACTTGACACAACAAAAAGGTGTTTTAAATCCCCTTTTCTTCACAAACTAGTATTTAACAACCCCTAGGCTGAAAAGGTTGCACAACTGGAGTTACGAAGTCTTCTGCTGCTGTTCTTTCATGCTCTGTCTGCCGAGCAGCATTTGGGAATCTCTGTCAGTACAGATGCTAACCCCAAGCCACTGAACTAGTTGAGGGTGTTTTGAGTGCAGCCAGAGGCTGTATGTGGCTGCGCCTCCACGGGCAGCTGCATGCTGGGAGTGGCCCTCTGCAGCCTGACAGTCCCTATCGCTGAGCAGGAGGATGGTAGGATTGATAAGCGCTGCAGGCCAGAGGATTCACGTGAATGGGTGTGTGCTTGTTCTGAGGCTGCATGCAGGCGTCCGCCCTCTGTGCTGCACAGTAACACTTTTGTAAAACGATGCCTGTGCTCTCGTCAGAGTCAGATTTAGCTCCCATGGACTCCCCGCGCTCTGACACACATTCACAACCCAAACTCTGTGCGCCTGTCTGAGTGCAACAAGCTGCTGATTTTTACTTTGTAATTACATTTTAGTGTGTTTTTTTTCTAGTTTTGCTTTTCAGGAAGGTTTAGTTTTTGTATTTAGTTTTGGCAATGGAAAGACAAAATGTCACACACGCGTTTAACTAATAAAATACTGTGCAAGAATGACCACGATGTTTACACCTTTTGTTTTGGGAGTCAAGTTAAGGACTCTTTTACTAGCGCACTCGATAATTCATTTTATTGAGATATATTATTATTATAAAACTAAGTTGACGTTGCTTTTTATGTTTTATTTTTAGTTAGTCACCAGATCATTTTGTTTCAGTTTTTAAATTCTAGTACATTTTCACTGCTTACTTTTGTTATATAGTTTCGGTTTTAGTTTTTTCTCAAAGGAAATCATTAGTTAGTTTCAGTTAACTACATTTTTCTCAGCTTATATTCTGAAAGAAAATTTATAAAAATTCTGATATCAAATATTCAATTATTAGAAGGCTAATCAAACATTTTAACATTTAACTTTCATAATATTCAACTGGGCTTGTAAGAAAGTAAAACAACAAAAAAGTTAAGAGAAGCAGGGGGGCCCAGGAGTGAAAAAAATACACTACATACTACATTTCCCACAATGCAACAGTGCCTTCCATTACATCCTCCCTGGCTGAAAAACATCAAGTCGGTCCCCAAATTCCAGTTTGTAACACAAACAAATACGCTTTGTTAGAAATGTAATTGCTTGTGTTGAACTCTAGATAACCCTAATGACATAGTACATACACTTTTTATGACAAACTGTATGTGTAAACATTAAAGTAACCCTTTATTTGTTTGTTTTAATAATCAGTTAAAAGACTAATACTGTAATAGTGGAATCCATACATATCCAAAATGTAGTTTGATCAGTTACTTTTAGCAGTATCTATTTTGACAATCCATTAGTTGTCACAGGAAAACCACAGCATTCATTGGATCAAGTTTCACAATGAAACTGAATGAACATTATTGTAGAGTGATTATCTTTGTTGTTTTACTGGTGGTTGTATACATTGCTGATGAAAGTTTCAAGTATTTCACATTACTACTGCAACAGTTGGTCGGCTAATCAATTAGTTAATCGAGAGACAAATAATTGGCAACCAATTTTGACATTTTTAAAACCCTTCTCAGTAACAAATGTGGACACTTTTCAGGGCCATTTAATTTCCAATTTCCTTCAATTCATGAGTTAATGATTCATTACAGACATACTAAGTAGACTAATCCGAAGTAAAATCATTAGTCTTAACCCTCACCTACTTCTTTAACTCTCCACCTGCCCAACACCTTGCTCACATGCTTTCAGCAGTGACAGTGGAGCAGGAGGCTGGTGGGAGGAACTGCAGGCAGCCAGGCCATTGGACATGCAAAACGTGTCTTTACAGCAGCAGCAGCAGCTAGCCATGGCTGTCTTAGCTTTTTCCCTTTATTACCCAGAGACAGCACACACATTAGGCTGCTTTTGGACTCATTGTTTTCCTCCCCATGTGATGCATTTAACCAACAATAGGGGATTAGTGTGAGAAGCAATACATTGGGAGCTAAATTAAGAGAAGTGGTCCGCAATCAACACGTGGTGCTGCGGAGCAATCCGAGTACAGGGGGGAGGGGAGGGGAGGGTATGGGGGAAATATGCTACCATAAACACCTCTTGACATTCAAGTTAACACACTTCATTTAACCCTTTAAAAAAAAGCTTAAGTGAGGTATGATAAGGATTTCTGTGCAGGGGGGAGCTGTCAAAACGCTGCAACAACGTGCTCACACTACTGCCGTTAGTAGTAATCATATTGTCACAGTTAAATCCCTTTCACTATGTGTAGACATTATAAAAAGCATCTCACCTTTCTCCTGGGAGTTGTTGATGTTATTGCTCGGCACCCTGCCTGTCGTCCTCTTAGTCCACGGGTTGACTTTCGGCGGAGGAGCTTCCACAACTTTGCTCTTCACCGCCTCCACAGCCGAGTCAGCGGTGCTGCTTTGGTCATTTTCTTTGTCGTTTTCTTTGCATTTCTTGTGCATGTCCGCCTCGGTGTTGCTGTGGTCGTCGTCTAGCTGCTTCTCAGTCTGCTTTTCTCCATGCTGCTCCTCCTGAGCCTCTGCCTCGATCTTGTTTTGGTTCTTCTCCTCGGAGCTGGCCGCTGTCAAACCAGCCGATCCGACCAGACTGCACTCAACCTCTGTGGACATCCTGCTAGTCTCCTAACAGTACACAGTGTTAAATCCAGTGTGAAGATGTAGTCCTTGCTCTTTTATCCCAGAGAATCCCGTGAGACGCGTAGGGGGAGACCACATCCACAACTTGGGGTAAACAACTCTTAGGGCTGGACCTCGTTAGCCAGCAAGAAGTAGCTTCTGAAGCTAACAGTTAGCCAGCTAGCCGAAAGTAGCTCCTAAAGCTAACAGTTAGCCAGCTAGCTAACCATGCACCAAATCAACGAGATTAAATGTCTCTATTTCAGCTTTAAATCCACAGTTTTAACATCAACAAGTAGTTACCTCAGAGTCTCTAGTTAGTCACCATGAAGACGACACGATGTGGTTTAGTTTGCCTGCGAGTTTTCTGTCACTTTTCTTTAAAAAACAAACTCCCACAGCGACCTCCTCGCTGTCTCTCTCTCTGGTTTCAGCTCCACGCTCCCAGCAGAGAAGAGCTCGTGCATCCAGCTGCTGTCTGCTGTAAACAGTGACTCTGCTGCCCCCAAAGCCACGCGCAGGTACTGCAACACACATGGATTAATGTACAGTATATCTCTATGATATTTATACCTATGATTTATATCCTAGAAATTGCCTAGAGATGCCTGCAGAGGCAATGTGGGGTTAATTATGGACATGTTGACTGACTGACTGAAGCTTATTAACCTCCTTAGACACCACTATGAAACGTTTCCGAGTTGATTACTGACATTAAGACAATTCTTTTTTTATATATATTTTTTATTACAAATGTTGTCATTTTCTTAAACCAGAAAATACTGTTAACAGCCATACAATTCATGTTAATCTTTTTTTAAATGTGAAATAATATGTAAATCATGCTATAAATGACATATGAACACATTTGTGTAAAAACCTTCAGAATATAGAAATGAATTACACTATGAAGCTTGGTGTATGTAACTTTGGAGACGATTTACATAACATTATGTTGTGTAAATTATGTATGTATGTTGTATTTGACTGTATATGCATTGACGTTTCTGAGGAGTTTGTGTAAAGGTACAGTAAGTGTACAAGTGTGTGACAAAGTCAGCATGTAAAAAATAGACCAAGTCATATATATACATATTTTAATGTGGAAATGTTACATTTTATACATTTACTTCTGTGTCGAAATAATAACACATGGGCCCAAAAAATCGGTTCAATGATAATTCAATGGTTATGGATTTTCAAGAAAAAGCTGCAGGTTAAAATATTTATTTTGTTATTCTATATTAACAACAAGGGGAACAAGTTTTAATTTAAGTTATGAGTTTATTTATTTAGAATCAGCAAATACACATTTATTATTGGTTTTCATAAACAAATATTTTAGTTTTATTCTTTACATTCATTTAAATATTTTATTTTTGTGTGAACAAAACTCATTAATTTGCCTATTTTTTATTCTGTTCCAAAAACATAATTTGTATTTCTTTAATTTTTTTTATATATTTTTTTACTTAACCCACAATTTTTTTTTTTATTACATCATCGTTAACACATAGTTCCCTGAGATTGTTTTAGGATTGGTTTCTGTGCCTTTCTCTGCCTGTTGAACTACAGATAATGAAACCCAGAGATCAGAAACATCGTCAGCGCCACAGAGGAATGCTTCGGTGCAGACGACACGACTCGAGGTCTGGTGTAGATGTAAGGATGCTCCAGGAGAAAAGGAAAGATAATGATTATCTTATGTACAAACACAAATACTTAAAGATACAAAATGACAGTTATTTTTGTACCTTTGTTGGGCAGATGAGTTTTGTTGGCTCTGAAAAACTCTTTATTTTCTCTTTCTCTCCGTTAGCCTGGAACTGAGGAAGAATTGTGTTTACATTTGGAGAATCAGAAAAGAGCAATTTCTCTCAGCATGAATACAGTGATGGCACGCTTCTATATTTTTAGGAATACACAGTATTTTGTATCTGTTCCAAACCCAAATCAGCCGCTTTTTATGAAAACTACTAATACAGATATATATTAGCCTGTATTTCACTTTTAGCCAACTAAAATAGAATAGAATAGAATATCTTTATTGTCATCACACATCAGTGTAACGAAATTGAGTTGGCATCTCTCACTGCAGTACATAAATAAGAACACATCCATATAAGCAGTGATAAAGCAGAGATAGTAGCAATAATCAGGGTCATCCCTTAAATGCACTTTACCAGAATGTTAAAATACATTTTTAAGGATTATTTAATAAAGAAAAGCTACAATGTTTAAATATAAATAGTTACTAAAAATATCTGTTTGATACTTAATAAATATACAAATAAATAACATATGGTATTTTTGGCTGCAGTCTTTGAAAAAAAAAGCACCTTAAACAGTTATCTAAACATAATAAAACCTCACCATGTTGTTCCACAGTCCCTTAGCCAGCTCTTCATGTCCTTTAACAGTGAAGTGGAAACAATCTGCCGTGAAGAAACTCAAGTCAATCGTCCCGTCCTGAAGTACAAACAAAATAATCGCAAATAAGTATTGTTAGTGCAAACAAAAGGCAACACGTGAATGGTGGTGTAAATGTTTCTTTGTGTGTGAGAGACTCACAGGAAGTGTTGGAAGTACGGCCTTCTCTAAATAAGGCTGCAGAACAACAGCAAAGTCCTTTTTGAAGAAACGCTCGCCGTGCAGAAGCTTCTCTAATCTCCTCTGTAAAGAACGGAGGTCCAAATCACCTCAGAGTTTTACTGCCTGATAGCACGACATCTACACCGGGTTTCTTTGTAGTAACTGTGCATCATAAAGCTGTTCAATCCTTTTGGGGAGTACATAACTCTACTCAATTAAATACACATATTTATAAAAACAGCCCACATTTTTATGAATTATTATTACAGTACAAGTATTATTCTGAAGAATTACTATTTGTCAAAGTATCAAAAAGAACTTGAGGACATGTTATGCTCATTTTCAGGTTCATATTTGTATGTTGTGTCTCTACTTTGACATGTCTCCATGCTTTAATGCTGCAGCACCTATTTTCACCCTCTGTCTGAAACCAGAGCCCAGTCTGCTCTGATTGGTTAGCTGGCCGGCTCTGTTGTGATTGGTCAACTGCTTAGAGATGTCCCGCCCCTTAGCCTCTCACATAAAATGTGTTGAAGTGCTAGCCAATAGGAGCGTGAGTGTTACATAGTGATGTCAGTAAGTGTTGGAAATAAACAAAGAAGTCCAATGGAGGCGCTTCAGGCAGAAAATTTTCTCTCACCTGAAATTCGTAGTTAACCTCGACCAGCTCCTTCAGCTCAGGGGAGTTTTCTTCAGGTTGGACAAGACACGAGCAGAAACTCCTGAGAGCAGAACATCAGATTATCAGATTAAAAGATTATCAGATCAATTATGATTTGTAATCCTCAGAGATTTGGACACAGACATAAGGCAGGGCAAATAAAAAACCCTCACTGTACAACAGGATTCAGGATTTAGTACTTGAGTAAATGTATATCTATATTTTAAGATATTCTGGTGGTAATAGCTAGATCCTGCAGGGGTTTATATTAACAGATTATTAAAAACCAGAGGTAACTTTTGCAGCTGACAGCCGAACGTCGGCCTCTGGACGTCTCTGAGAGGCTTCATGGGGAAAATCTGCACCACGTTGACGATCGTCCTGGGGATCTGAAACCAGAACAACAACATTTACCACTAGTTTCAGTAGGATAGAGGTAGAAAGGAAAAACTGTTCCCAAAGAGTAAAAGGGGAGGGGAACATTTCACATGTATGCATATGCACTGAGGTTAATGCTTTAACATTTGTGCAACTTTTGTCCTGGTTTGACTGTTAATAAAGCATACATTATCACCCAAATATTGGTTATACCTCTTAAGCCAACTTCATTCAACCTCATATATTGACCACACTTTTTACTTTGAAAGTATGGTCAATATACCTCGGTTACACAAAATGAAACCTTACATTTCAGTTAAAAATGGCAGCACATATTTCTTTACTATAGTATTTCTACTTCACTGTAAAAAAAAGAATAATCTCTTAGTTGTTTGAGTTGAGCCCTCTTTTATTTGTTTCTATTTTAAGCCACGTACAGCACCAGTCTAAACAAAGGATGGGAATCTCAATCCAAACACAAAGTCATATCTTTATTAGATAACAAAGGGAAAATGTGAAAATGAGGATACCACATGCATCATTTAAGTATGATGATGTGAGCATTGAGTAGTGATGGGTGAAGTAATTATGCATTTTTTTAGTCAGGTAATATATTTTAGAACTGTTTTGAGGTACTTCATAAAATCTCACCTCCTTCATCATCATGTCCAGAGCTTCTGTCATGTGGTGAATGAATCTGTCGGGGGAGAACAGAGTCTGTGGAGAGGGGAGAGGAGGCTCAGATTTATAGTCTGATATCTTTCAAATCTGATATTCTCTCAGATTTAAACTGTACATTTGCGAAAGGAAAACTCAGAAATGTACAAGAAAATATCCTTAAATTATAAAGACACACATTTATAACAACAAACTAATTTATTTTTTAAAATGATGTGGATTCCTGATTTAAAAACACATTTTCTTTCCTTTGTTTTGTACATTTAAAATAATTTCTGTTTAATTTGTGGGATTTTCGTAAAAAATGAACCCATAAATGTAGGAATTTAATTTGGAAAATTGTGAGGGTTTTATTTTTTTATCTCTGATTCAATTAACTTCCTCTAGCTTGATTTTGAATAAGCAAAACAAAATGTGGCCCTCAAATGCCGTTGTACAATACAGACTTTTTACTCAAATAAAACACCCCTACTTTGTCTTTACAGTAATCACAGATGTCGTTCATGCCGATCATCATCGTCACCACCTTCCAGTCCTCTTCAAAGTTCAGACCCTGAAGAAGGAGAGTTGATGTTGAACGTCACATAAATAAAGTTTAAATTATGATTATGAATCATCTAATGAGCAGAGTGAGATGAGATTTACGGGATAGGACTTGAACGTGTCGATCATGTGTCTTATCTGATCAGAGACGTTTCTGTAGAAGAACAAACATGAATCACAACATCAATAAAACATTATCAAATCATTTACAACTAAATATTATGATGTTTGAACTTAAAGGTATGGTAGGTAATTCACTTCAGAAACACTTGTTATATTCCATGGAATGCTCTTAACATCCCGATAGCAATGACTACATTAAATGCTTTGACAATAAACATATGATATACAAATATTTCATCTGTGGAAGCCGTGGCGCTGTAAAAAGCACGACCAATCATCTGCCTCGGCCCGGCTAAAATAACTGGATGGCCTACCTGCCTGTCAGCCTTCCATCTGTGCACAAACTTATCTCGTGTCCTCATTGGTCATGTGCGCGTTCGTGTGTGTTGGAGGAGGGACTCTGTAAGGAAGTCTGAAGGAAGTGGCAGATTTGTTCCGGTTGTGTACTTTCAAATTCCAGCGCACTCGAGCTGGTTTCTCCATTCTTACCTATGATTCTTACCTACGTTACCTTACCTACCCTACCTTTGAAGGCATTAAGAGGGCACTCAGTGTCTCCTTAAAGATTCCTACATTTGCATGATAAATAATTATATTGGTTTTAATTATGTACTTTAGTTCACAATTTACTTCATCATATTTTATACAAGTCTGGTTTGTGTTTTCTTAAGTTACAGCGATTTTGTCTGCTCTTGTATAGTTTTATTTTAATTTTTTTATAAATCACCCCCAACATTTCCAAATATTTCCTTGACAGTTTGAAGCTCCACATAGCCTACAGTTACCGTACAGAAGCACACATGTAAATGTAAAATAAAGTTTAATATAACAATTGGGAAGAAGCCAGAGCAATGAAAACAAAACGCCTCCATAATAATAATTTGGATGGAAAAATGCCTAATTATAATTAAAAAAAACATCTCTCTATTTTTTACTTAATTGTATTTAATTGTATTTATTTATCTTTTACATATTTGTATTTATTTATTAATTTGTATTAATTTATTTACTTATTTTTATTTATTCATTTCCTTATTTTCCTTACATATTAAGGAAATGTGTTTTGAAATAAATAAATAAAAATAAGTAAATAAATGAATACAAATTAATAAATAAATAAAAATAAGTAAAATATAAATAAATACAATTAAGTAAATAAATAATAAATAAAGAGTGTTTGTCTCACAGTGTGTTGTGTCCGGTAACGGCGAAGTTGAACCCGGTCTCGTTGACGGTCGCCGGCTGACCGTGGAAGATCCGAACCGGGGACGGACCCAGCAGCTCGGGGCTGAACAGCTTAAAAATATCTAGACAATAAAACAATCAAACATTACAAAAATAAAAATAAAGACCTGAGTAAAGAAGCGAGGATCCGTGGATTTTATCAACTAATACGTCAAATATTTTACCAAGATATAAAAACATAGATCAAAGCCATGTCTTCCATAACTTTAAGTTTCACTGTTATTTCAGTCACAAATTATCTAAAGTTCAGCGTTAAAATAATTTTTGCAGGTGATTTTTGTTTTGTTTTGAAGTTCATTTTCATTCAATCTTTTGTTTTGATTGAGATGTGTTAACACTGGGCTGGACTTTAAATATATATTTATACATTTAATTAACACTGAATTATATTTTCTTACAGTGTTAGGCCTTGATCATTTTTCACTTCTTGGTTATTTATTGGACATTAAATTACTTACTGGCCAGTGTGATGACATTTTGATACGTCCCATATCCTCCGATGCTAAAACAGAAAGAGACATAAAACATACATAATCATAACAGCACTTACAATGTGACTGGAGAGATAAGATAATGTTAAATAAATCATCAATCAATCGATTAGCACCTTTTAAAACTGGCTACTGTTATAAATCCTCTGATTTACAGACAGCTGATATTCAGAGGATAGTTTGAGTTTTTGAATGTTTTATAATTAATATCCTATGGAGTATTCATTTGGAGCCGTGGCGCTGATTTACCTCCAAGATACGTGGCGAAATTCAAAAGGTATGGATAAAATCGTAGAGCCATTGGCACCAATAGCTGTCTGCAAGAAAAAAACATACATGCAATATTTTAAAAGCAGAGAAGTCTTCATTACTACTAATATTATTCAATAACAATAACAGTAGTTTGTAACTGTGAGTGTGAGTGTAACACTAGTTACATTTACACTAAGTACAATTTTGATATCCTTTATTTGAGCACTTTCAGTTTGTGCTTTTTACTCTTCTACAGTTAGTTTTTTACCTTTATTCACTTTCACAAATTTGGATCGTTACAACCAAAACTATCAAAGAACTTTTAAAATGTGATGTTTTGTCCCAAATGAACCTATGAAATTACACCTAAAAAGAATATTCGATTTAACAACAGAAAACAAATAAGATAAATAAATACAAAATATAACCAACAAAGAAGTTATGATGTGTTATTATGATAAAGATAAGACTTCATTGATCCCTTGTGACATTTACAAGCTTCACAACAGTATATAAAAAACAATAAGCTCCTCTTTTATTAGTGGCAACACATATGACAACAATTATATCATATTATTATATTTTTCTGAAATGGGCTGCATAACGTTTACTTTGACTTTTTCTACTTTAATTGCGATTCTTATTCTTTCACATCAGTAACTTTTTGAATGCAGTACTTCACTCACAGTTAAAGAGTCTCCCAGTGCGGCGATGACTTTGACATCTGCAGCTTTGACATATTCAACTAGAAAGAAAAGAAAACAATAAAAACAGTCAGACTCAAAACATATACACATGTTTGAGAGCTCTGATAACCTTGAACAGGGTATATTACAGCGACATTAAAAGGCACACTCAATGTTCAAGCAGACTATCTCAGTAAAATATCCCACATTTATCAAATGCCTTCATTTTGCATCTGCACACATTTGATCTCATACAAACTTTTCAAGAATCATAAAAGGATTAAAAAAGACATTTGTAAATCAAAAGTGTTCAGCATGTTTGAACCACTTCTTCTTTGTACTCACATTAAAGGTATTTAAGACCTTCCAAGCATTGACATGTTGGTGAAAGAAGTATCAATAAAGTCTTATGTTAATATATGATATAGTTGTTAAATGCAATTGAAGTGACAAACCAGAGTACATTACTAGAGTTAAAGTACTTAGTAGTAACTCAGGGGACCCTCACCTGAGGTGGGGACGCTGGGAGATGGAGTCATATCAGGACAGATGAAGGGTGGATGAAGAGGCTGGCGGAGGAAATCTGTTCCTAAAACATCCTGCAGAGAAAAAATATGTTCTGTAGGTTTTGTTTTCATTTAAAAAAGATGTAACATGGAGATATTTGTCACCTTTGAGAAACTTGTTCTCCATAAAGATAACTCATACATCATCATGCGACTCATTTCATTTAGTAAGTTGGAGATTTTAAGTAGAATAATACAATTTTGGCATCGCATATTTCAGTTTCAGTATTGATTTGTATACTTAGACAGGTAAATATAAGGAGTTAAATAACAAGATGGAGACAATACCTGATGGAAAGGTTCATCTTCTTCCTTTAAAGTGTAGCCTGCAAGAAACAAGAAAAAAGTATAAATACATGTTGAATAAACTGCAGATAAACTTGTTAAAATTCACTCTGTAAAAGATGAGTTGTTTTTAGTAGAAACTTTGTGTGTTACCTTTCACACTCATATAGTTTAACACTCACCGTCTACACGACATGCTGCTACTAAACAGACTGCAAACAGCACACGTGTTGACAACATCTTCTCTTGTCCAAATTGAAAAGCAGATTTAAAGATTTTAAATTGCATAAAGTCGTCCTCCGGGTATGAAGCTTTGTCGTGACAAAAATCCTCGGTAAATGAAGACTGATTAACGTTATCTTTGACCTTTGAAGTCATTAGGCCGAGTCCTATACTGCGGATAATCGATTTATAATTGCAGACAAAGTTGAACCAGGAGTAAGATACTTACAGGATTTAGAGAGATCATATCATGCAGATAGACAAATAATTCACGTTGGAAATAAAACAGTGTACTCAAATGAATAAAAGGCATTTGTTTTTAAGTTCCTTTGGAGCGATTTAAAATACATCCCTTATTCAGATTAAGTCCATATAAAGAGAAATCACCAAGTCAAGTGTAAATGATGAACAAGACACCACCTGAAGCTCCACTTACTATCTTTTTCCCACACGTTCAATAGCAAAGTCCATTTCCTGATTCAAACCATAATATGCTACTAAAACCCACATACAAAGCTTATTAGTTGGATCTTTTGACAGGATAGGCAATATTTAATTTCTTTCCAGTCTTGCTCCTGCAACCTGTGGTAGAAAGTGACTATTTTTTTTACACTGTTGTAATGTTATTTTACCCAAGTGAATTATCTGAGTACTTCTTCTAGCTCTGGTAAATAGTCTAACTGTTAAACTAGCTACTCTAAAAGCAAAGAGGGTTAAATTAAACGTAAATATCAGAAGAAAACGTTAAATGCACTTATCTGGTGGGCTTTAAAAACTATGTAGTTATGTTACCTTTAAATCATTGTTTATAAATATGTATTAATGAATAACCTAACCGGTGTGAACGCAGCATAAAAAAACGCGGGGCTCGTGACGTCAGTATCGGGGTCACGCGGGGTTGACCTCAGGTGTTCGCGTGTTTTTCAGGTAAATTCCTGCTGTCGGTAAACAAATGGACTCAGCGGCGGTTTGCGGTGAAAACATGAAAAATGTGACCGAACTGCGCGGTTTAAAGCGAGTAAAATGCCCGGACAGAAGAGAAGATATAATGTACGATTCCCTCCTGTGAGTACAAACTTTATTTTAGAGTTTAAAGATGTTAAAAGTTAAAGATAAAAATTATTAGCCGCGTTCATGTAGCATGAAGTGCTGGGCGCAACGTTCAGGTGATGCCGGAAATCTGGGTTAAACGTCGTAAACACTAAGACTGTCAATTGTCATGTTCAATATTACCCGAGTGAAATTTGGATTATTCACAAAACGGAAGTTTAGTAAACAATGTAAGCCTTCATAAGAACAATAATGTGATGGAGTAATTGATGTACAAGTTATTTTCAGTTCTGGTATTGTTTAGACAACACAAAATGGCACGTTTAACCTGTATACAATAACAAATGAATTGAGAGGCTAATGAAAGTAAAAGTAAAATAAGTAGTAAGCGATTTCGTTGCTTTACTATAACACTTTTGATTGTAAATAACTTTGATCAGAAACAGAAATTGCTCCATATTTGTCTCTCTTCTTGTGTTTTCTGTTGTTTTTCCTTGGGTATATTGAATATTAGTTGACAGGTGCAGATTTCCGTAACATCAAAAGTGTCACATGCTAGCAAATAAAACATTCTGAATGCTAAATGAAGTTCTGATTTACATGCTGTCTGATGTACAACCTCAGATACAGGAAACAGGGGTTTATATAATTTCTCTGAAAGTGTCCTAAAGTTCTTTGTTTCTGCTCACAGAGTCGCATCAAGAAGATCATGCAGAAGGACGCAGAGGTGGGGAGGATTGCGATGGCAGTTCCTGTGTTAATCTGTATCTTTTTACACTTTCAGATTGTGGTGGATTAGCTGTGAGTATGTATTATTATGCATCACTTTATTTCCACCAATCTGTTTTCCTTTAACTTCTTCTTTAGGGTTTACGGACACATGGCATGCAAAACCTTTTGACTAACAGTGGTGTGAAGTAATTAAGTACAACGTTAAAGTACTTGTTCTTGAATATTTCAATGTAATGCTTTACTTAAGATTACTACATTGTTTGGCAGCTTTACTTTCTAGTTATATTTGTTATATTGTTGAATGAAGACTAAATCAAAATGTGTAAATTAAGAATACTAAAAATATTCTTGGCGATGATTCAATCTGTTTTAGGCTATAAATACTAGTGTCTACAAAGCCACCTTTATTGTCAATCTTCCAGTTTGTGTGTACAGACAGAGAGATCGAAATACCGTTTACCACAATCCCGAATATAAAAACAAATGTATATTAAAATATAAAAACCTGTGTGCAAATAATATATGTACAGTCAAAGACACATTTTGACATTAAGACCTAAATCATAAAAACACAACAATTAATATGTACAAAATAACAGTCACTTCAATATTTTGAGAATGTATTTTAATTGTATGTAGAAATGTGTTGATGTTTTTAAAGTCCTGAATGTCAGAGATCAGCTCGAGCGCTGGAAATGTTCCTGAAGTCTCTGCTGACCAAAATCTGTCTGATCACTCAGTCCAAGAACAGCTGCGTCGTGTCTGTTGCTCACATGTGAGTAAACCACAACTCCACAAATATCAGGTCAATATTAAACTACACACTTTTGGACTTAAAACAAATAAAAGGAAAACATCTGTGTTTAATCTTCTTAAATGGTCCCAAGATATAAATTGAGAATGGTGTATATGAGGATAATGAATTGATCATGTTTCTGTGTAGGAAGCAGTGCATAGAGTCGGAGAAGCTATTCCACTTCCTCATAGATATGGCGGAGCGACCCTCGTCTGCCGCACAGAAAGACGCCAGAGGTCTGACCCTGTGGCCGATGTACAGGTGGAGACTGGAGTTATTATTATCAGACGTTATAATTCTTAACTTCAAACATCACAGACTGTTTGGGTGGTGAAACGTGTGACCTGATGTCCTTTTGGCATAGCTAGTGTTTCTGCATTTAGTCAACAGATTTTCATTAACCTTTCAGAGGAAGTGTACTTTATTAGGACTTTTAGAAGCATTAAAAGAAGGTTGAGTAACAATGAAATATTGTGCGTAGAAATAAAGTAGAGTTATTAAATAATAACATTTAATTATAATTTGTATTAAATATTTTCTATTGATTGCATTATTTTTCTTGTTTTTATGAATACTGAATATTGAAACTATATTGGAACTAAACTAAATCTTTATTTCTTTATTAACGCTGCAATATTTATTTTTTGCTTGAATAATTATTGAAAGAATACACTTTTCAGTTTATTGGCCATCTGGTTAGTTGACAAAATGCTTCAGCTCTAATCTGTTTCATGATAGTCTTCCCAGGTCAAAAATGCATGAAATTCAGGTTCAAAAACCGCCTGAAGTGGTAGAAATGGCGCCACGGCGAAACCTGGGCTCACTGGACAACGACTCCAGCTCCAGTGTACGTATATGCTTCTTACTGTACAAACAAATGACTGATGATGGTCTCCCGTTGTTTGTTTTTTAATACCCCAAATTAAAGCATGACATATATATAAAGGCAGGTCTTGGTGTACTGTTGTGTGCCAAAAAGACTATGAAGCTATGTCACAATAGCGACCCCATGAGGAGGAAATGTTCATTACACTCCAGAAAAAAAGCTTTTCTATTTTTTGATTATTTCCTAAACTTTGGTAAAAATGTCCTTTGCAATCAGAAGAAAAGGTCATGTTGTTCTTTGGACTAAAAGAGTTTATTCTTGCTATAATAAGCTAATAAAAAAAACAGATCCAGTGTTAACCAATTTGATTTGGTCCGATTTGTGTTCAAAATATGTGTCTCTTCCTTCCTGCAGGAGTCAGAGCTTTACATCTGCCTTTGAGCGAACAACCAGAGGAAGGTGCTGTCAACTTCCAGCATCCTTTCATCATGTTTATTTTATTTAAATGTTTATTTAAACGCTGCTTGTGCAGGTTAACGTGTAGGTAATAACTATGGAACAAAATCTAATTTTCTTTTCAGTTTAGGGGGGAAAACATTTAAGTTGTTTAATACTTTAGACCTTTGGCTGCTAATGTACAGTTTGGGGTTCTTTTTGTTTTGGAAAATATATATTTATGGTGTTTTGTAATGAAGCCTGTTCCCTTTTTGTTTGTAGCAGATATGCTAGGAGGACAGGAAGAAGTTGAATGCTCTGTGTAAGTTCACATTAAGGTATAATGAATGTATTATGCCATTTAAATAACAGACTTTTAAATCCTATGTTTTTCATGCTATTTGCTTTGTTTATAAGTTGAATTCACATGGTGTTACGCTATATGACTGTGCTTTAAATCCCAGTTTCCCTTACCATTTTATGCAGCAGCCTTTAAAACTGAAGTGCTTATTTTGCTAAACTGTGACCTTCATGGTTCCTACTGTGAGCGTTTAACTTTTAAAGCACTTGTAAATTAACGTTTTAAAGAGAGCGAGCCCATAAGGCTCACACAAATGGTTTCTTGCTCACGTGAACGTTTCCTTGTGGCTCCGTATCTTTGCATGTGAAGTCAAATTGTAAATAAATAACTTCTGTGATTTAATGTGAAAGTTAAATAAAAACAAATCAAAAGCATAGGAGAGATTGGTTTATTCCAAGAAACTAATCGTTATACATTGTGAGGTGAAATGATGAATAAATAGACGCACTTTGTTCTGAAAACTTTACTGGAAATTGACATTTAAGCCAAATACAGCAATACTTCTCTCTTGAGTTGCTATGCTAGCTAGCTGCGTGAAGAGAGGAACCTGATTTCACTTTCCAATACTTTAAATGATTTGCGCTGAAGCTCCCAGTTGATCCTGTGATGACTTTAATGAAATACCAGAAAGGTAAAGTTCTGCTTAGCTCAGTGACACATTTCAGTAAATGCATATCCAGTAGTCATTCCTCCGTCTGTCTTAAATAAAACATGCATCTTCACTACAGTTACACTTGAAGAGTAAAATATGTATTAAAAAAAGCATTTATTTTTTTTCAAGTAAAAGAAAATCCAAACATTTATTTTCAGTCTTGCAGTAATTACATATTTATAGACTTGGAGGCCAATTTGCATTAGTGGTTCAATAGATTAATATTTTGCTTTATTCAATCCAGAGTCTCCAAGGCACAGTCCATGAATCCCTCTCTTTTGAACTGACCCAAACACTGATCGAGAGAAATCTAGACTTAAATACGTTGAAAGAAATTAAAACATTTACACAGACGAGTGACAGAACGGCCTCACCTCATTATCTCTTCAACTCGTGCTTCAGAGTTTACAATGGGACATCTTGTGCCAGAGAGATCACAGGACAAGAAGTTTTAAAAATTTCAAAATTGAGGAGGAAAAAAAACCGTAGACTACAGTTGAAACGTCTTCAGTAGAGTCGAGATCCGAAGCCAAAAGTCTGTTTAATAGCTTCAAAGTAGTATCTCTTCCAGCCCTCTTTCGTGCGGTCCTCCTCGTTGTCGGGGACGCCTCGACAGTCCACCTTCAGCTCCGTCTCGCTGCTGCGGTCCTTGAACGTCATGGAGATCGTAGAGTAATGCTCTGTGGGGCAAAAACACCCGAAAAATAAATAACATTTCTATTTCCCCCCAAATAATAGTCCTGATTCAAAGATTCTGCAGTCAATTTCTTACCTGCAGAGTTCAAGTACTTTGTTCGTTAGGAACTGTTGATTATGAGTTTACTTAAATGATCATGACGCACCTCATAATAACATGTTTTGTTTACTGAAAGAAGCTAAATATTTTACATTTGTAGTTGTGTGTAATAAAAGAAAGCTAAAACCTATATGTCAAGAAAGGTAATCGACTAATTTGTACGAGCTAAATTGTTTCCCCAAATATAATGACATATAAAACATATGGTGTGTTTGAGTAGATAACGTTTACACTTTTATACACAATCATTTCTAATGTAAGACAAAAACATTTGTGTCAAATCGGCTCTTAGAATATAAATGTATAAATGAACGTACCAGCAGGCCAGTTGTTATACCTCCACTTCATAACTATTTTCTCATCAGGAACCTGGTGGAGAGGATTCATTGTTAATGTTAAAGGGTAAAATAGAGGACAAATTGCACATTTACTAAAAGTGAAATTCAAGCCAAAACCCACTCTTATCATCACACCTAAATTGTTACTAGAAATGCAATTGCAAGACATTTTTTACAGAATTCCTTTATACCCACAGCAATGAAAAAACATACTGAGACGTGGTTCGTTTCACTAGCTGTTCACACAACCGTAGTATGTATTGATTGTTATTTAATGCTTAGCTTGGTTTAAAGGTTGTCTTACCAGATCTGTGAATTCACCGAAAACATTTCCATCTAGCAGACGAAACTTTCCGCCTTTCTCTCCGTCCACTGACGCTGGAGCGTGCGTGAACGCCTGAACCATCTGCAGATGCATAAGATAAACACTTCAATCTAAATGTGCATTTGCTGGCTGATTCTTCTAACCATCTGTGAGATGAATGTGCACTCAAGAGTCAGATATGGAGAGGAAGCTTACATCCTGGTTGAGGAAGACCCTGTAGAGATCAGCCGGGGAGGTGAGGAACTTTTCCCTCATGCTGAACTTGCAGGTAGGGATCTTGACGCCGGTGTTGATCGGAGCAACTGTGCTGCCTGAGGAGGAAATCTGTTCCACAACAAGAATAAAGAAAGTGTGGCGAGGGAGGATCAGTGCTGCGATGGTGTACAACTCACAGTAAATCATTTAGGGACAGGAGCTGTGTGGGATAATGTAAGATGTGGCTGAGGATCTTTTGTAATTTACGCACCTGAGTTTTATTCAGCTTGGCTTTGGACTGCGATGTTGTGGTCTTGGCCACACCGTTGGCTGTAGGCAGGATCATTCCCTGTGTGAACTCTGAAATTAAAAAAAATGAAACAAAATCAGCTTAAACCTTTTTTAAATCATCAAAGAAAAAGTATTTCAGTTTAAATAATCAGTACAAAATACTTATATCTAAAACTTGTCTCATATTAACATTTTCTACATAACCATTTTGTATTCTGTTTTTACACGTATCTTTGTTAACCCAAATGTTAAATATGACCTATGAAAAACTCTGTTAAAATATATCAAATTAAAGGTAAACATTGTGAATACCCCAAAGATGTGAATATTAATGAAACTAAAAACTATGAAGACGTTTAACGGTCATTAAGGCAGAAAATGCAGAGAAATGTTCAGAGAAAATTCAGACACTAAGGTTGTTAATACAGGGTATATGCAGGAATCCTGAAGTCAGATGCAATACCTTTTAGGACCTTTTTTAAGACCCGTTCCATACATTTTAAGACCTCATCGCCACTTGGAGTTCTAACCGGTTACCTTGGCGACACACTTTACCTCACATTGACTATATAACAGTATTGATTGTCCTTCCTCCTTATCTTCCAACCATTTGGACGCAGACTTGCATTTCCCAATAACGATGTTGTTTAACAACCGGCGTAAACGGACCTTCGCGCGCTATCAAGCAGTGAGCGTGCGATGTCCTGTTCAGATGACGTCAAACCCAACGGGATGCCATAAACAAACTACACAGAATCACACTACACACCTACGCAATGATTACATTCAGGCAGACTGTAGAATACAACCTCTTTGGACCATTTATATACTTATTGAAAACAAGCTACAAAATGTAATACCTTGGAAAATACTTTTGAATAGCCTTGATTTCCGTAAAATGTATTTATCAACTTTTAATACTTTTTAAGACCCCGCGGACCCCCTGTAATGATTTTTTTTTTTAAGTCCAACGTTGTAGGTTAGTGATCCTGTGATTCAGTTTGTGTGGTGAGTGGACCATTTTGTTTGAATTACCATCACTGTATTCCTTTAAATCACAGAATGGTTTCACTCACCTGTTTTCAAGTAACCAACGTAGCTTCCCAGGACCTGGCGGATATTGTCAGCTCCTTTTGTCCTCATCAGCTTGGTGAGGGGTGTTTCAGGTTCATCTTTATTCAACGACACAGAGATCTGCACAAAGATCAAAAGGTGGGATTTCAAAACGCTGTTCCTACAACATGCAGTCGGTTGAAAACACTACACACAAACTCTTTGGTGAAACTTACATCCAGATCCTCCATGTCGTTCTCGTCCGAAAGGTTTGGGACATCAATGGATCCTGTATACTTGACTCCTGCTTTCGACACTCCTGGGAAAATAAAGAGAATACAGTTGTCAAATGGAACTTGAAGCCTCTTTATTCAGCTTTCTTTAAAAATAACAACAGAGGAACACTTCTTTTTGATCAACTGTTACTGTCCTCTACTAGCTGTGGTTTCTATTTTAAGAAGCATTTACCTGCCAAAATGAGAAAGTGGTCAAAACTACACCGAAAATTATCACTGCTTTATGCACGCCTAGTTATTTCCTGTGTATTCATCCAGCAATCAATTTTATGCTAGTATATATTTCACCGCAAAACAACAGTAGCTTCAGTCTCCGACTCACCAGTCCAAGTAGCTTTCAGGTTCCATTCATAAAAGAAAATGAGTTTCCCTTTACGGTTGTTAATGGAGGCCTCTCCTTCCACCTTGGCGACTTCTGTCACCTCACAGCTCCCCTCCTCGTTCTCCACGATCAAACCGAGGAGGAGGGATTTTAATTTGTCGGACGACCAGTTTGTTGCATCTCGTTCAGTCCTGCAAAGTGAACACATCCAAAAAGGTAAATAACCACGATTTTAATTTTCTTCCTCTATAATATTCACATAGCATTTGCAATCTGATCTTTACTGTGCTTCATTTCCATATTGTTTAATGTTTTTGGATACTTTGCTTATTTTCTTAAGATGTATTGCTTTACACTAAATGTGTCAATTTGTTCACCATTGACCAATTTATCTTTATGGATTCAGTATCTTTACAACCAACATATTGTAGATTCCACCTTACAATTCATTGACATTTAGCTCTAAATACAGCAGTGTGATGAATTATCAACTATTGCATCTTTACAAAGCACTTGAAGTCAAATTACATTACATTAAAACTAAATTAAACGACATAAGCGTCCTGATTTACTCTGTTAGGAATCACATGTTTGATTATCTAGGCCTTTGTATTGAGAAAAACAGACAAATAAATACCGAACAGAAAGAGGACAGGGCATTCGTAACTATTAAAAAAATAAAGGCGTTTCAATTAATTGTCTGTGAGAAACGGTAGATCATCTAATGAAAAGTATTGTTAGTCTAAATAATACACACTCAAATCTAGAATGAACACTTTTTTCTGATATTTACGGTAAAGATTTCAACATTCCTTAACTGATTGATGTTACCATGGATATTAATTGGGTTAGGAAACCATGGGGAAAACTCCATAAAACAGCATACAGTTTGGTAAGTATTCAGTCTGTAGGAAATGTGATGAATAAATACTTAATGCCACTTTGTGCTCACAACAAGAAATGGCTGTCAGATCACAAAAATCTCGATTCATAAAAAAAAACAAGATATCGATTTGCTGCAACTTTTAAGATATAATGTACCTTACATGTCCTATAGAGGTGTAACAACACACGATTACACTACACGGCTCGTTATTACACCGGAACACGCGTGGCGTAACCATTTTGTTGTTAACGGCTAAAACCTCCATACATACATTAAAGCTACAGTAGCTAGCTGCAAGGGAAGCTAACTTCAAAACGAGAGCTCGATCAAGAAAACCTGTAACATTTGATCATTTACTTTAATAAAAACTCAGAGCTCTCTACGAAAATCTAGACGGCAGTTGTTCATCAGCACATAGGAGCAACATCTAAAAATAACAGATATAGCCATAAATAGTATGTCAATGTGTTACATTAGCATTAGCAGGCTAGTTAGCGTAGTGTCCTTTCGTGATTTCTCACCAGTGCCAGTTGTTGACATTAGTCGCGTCGGCTCTCTCTTCTACGATCCAACGAGGGTCCCCTTCTCCCCATTTAGCCATTTTTTTCCGAAATATTTAACGTGTAGAGCTGTGTGCGGATGGCAGATTTGTTGCCGGTGACTGTCCCGGTGCACGTTTTTTCTAGAAGCCTCTGGCAGCTGCTGGCCCTCCGCGGTGCTCCTGCACTTGTCGTCCGTGTGTAGAAAATGCTAGAAACGGAACTCTGTGTAACAATGTAGAAACGTTCCGCCCTACCGGAAGTGACCTTCTAAGGAATATTTCCCCACAATAAAACGAAGACATCTGGAGGGAAATAACACTTTATGAAATATCCTTTACCTAAGCATTACTATACAAAAAGTATTATATATATATATATATATATACACATACATATCATTTACACTTTGTATTGGTGTATTAGTGCATAGACAAGAAAATATATAGATTAGAAAAGAAAAGATACATCATAAATATTCAACAACAACAAACAAAACATTCATTTTGATGCACAATATACTTGCTAGTCAGGAAGGTGGACTATGATATACATGGGGATGTTCAAATGTTTACAGTATTTTGAGTACAAATAATATACCATGTATAAAAGTAGTGATTATGCATGAGTACATTTCTGATTAATATATATTACTTTTTTGGATTAGATTTACTAATGTGAATGATTACATTCTTATTGCAACTGGTAAATCTAGGGATAATTAGTATATGAAGCACGTTCTGAGAAACTCATCGCTTCAATTTCCTACAATTACCATCAATACTGATTTATCATTCATCCATTCATCATCATCATTTTTAGTAGCATAAGTAGCATAACATGGAAATACTCAATCTCGTCATTGTACTTAATTACAGTATTTGAGTAAATGTACTTAGTTACATTCCTCCACTAATCTTAGACATGACTCATTTCATATTTTGTATGTTTCTGATTTTGTATATTTCTGGTATTTATGTTTGTATAATAACACAGTCATTGACATTTTATATTTTAGCTTTTTCCTACTTTGTAATGCAACTGCAAAAACCCCATAAATTAAGTTCTGTCCTAAATGATTGTTGTCTTTGATAAACACGTTATTTGGGTAATAGATAATAAGATCTAATAAAAATGTGTTGAAAATAATCCTGTTTTTTCTCTGATAAACTGAATAACATCGAATTTTGGATTGGGCAAAACAAGACATGTCAAGACATCCGCTCGCGCTTTAGGAAACTACAAAGAGAGTTTTTCATAGTTTTCTAACCTTGTATAGTGAAAACATTTGTTGCCACATAAATATCATCCCCAGAGCATTTACATGGCTCACAGTAAACACATTCCACATCATTTACATATTAAACGTTAGCAGGCAAATTATGGGAATGTGCTGTTATCTATGGTTTCAAACAGCCTATTCCTCTTGTACTGCGGTACGCATCACTGCATATCTTTGGACATATCTTTTGCACTACTTTTTATTTTGTATGTTTGTATTTTATTATATATGTTGCGTTGTTGGAGGAGCAGGAGCTCAGGTCAGAAGAATTTCATTGCCATTTCTACATTGTAGCTTGGTGCATATGACAATAAAACCTTTGAATCTTGTTATCTGTATTTTGTTGAAAGGGTTCACAAGTGGGATGTCAGTAAGGGAGGGTTTTTTCTGAAACATTGGAAAATTGGTTGTACCTAAAGGAGACTGTATGATACGCTTTCTGGGGAAATAGCTCTTCGATGAAACTGGCACAACTCAAAATAATGCTTTATGACAAAATATGTAAAGTAATGGATCAAAGTAGTAAAGACATTTTACTTAGTTCATTAATTAAGTACAATTCTGAGGTACTCTTTATCTGAGTAATTTCATTACACTTTTCACTTTTTACATGACAACAATTATTTGAAAACTTTAGTTACTTTTGAGATTCAGATGATCTAATTCAAAATATGATTAGATAGATATATAGATCTATATAGCTATAGCAGATTATAGAGATATAACTATAGGTTAGAATATCCAGACGCAGTTTACAAGTAATTTAAACAAGCTCCACTTTTACCAGCTGTGATAGACACATTAATGCATCAATAATCATCTGCAGTAATGTAATATATGATTTTGAAAAGGGTCCTTAATCATAACACATACTTTTATTTTTTAGATTTAAGTATAATTTGATGCCAATACTTTAAACACAATACAGGGGAAGCTGTGGCTCAGTGGGTAGTGCGCTGAACTTCAAATCAGGGGGTAGCAAGTTCGAGTTCCATGCACTGCAGTCAGCATGTCGTTGTGTCCCTGGGCTAGACACTTCACCCCAAATTGCTCCTGTGGGGATTGCCCACAGTACTGAATGTATGTAAGTCACTTTGGATAAAAGCGTCTAACAAGTTAAATGTAATGTAATTACAGGAATTGGTTACCATTAATCAGTATTGGATTGGCACTATCCTAAGGAAAATACTTTAAAATGAGTCTGCAGCCTGCTTTAATTACTTTCCAAAACTAAACTACATTACATTTAGCTGACACTTTATCCAAAGCAACTTACAATATATCGTACATGTAATAAACAATAAAGATACAAACTCAGAACAACAAGAAAAATGCAGATATGTTGACTTAAAATATGCCAATCTTCACTAGGTACTACCTGTATTCATAAATCGTCATTTGGTCAATCATATTGTGAATAATTCCTAAGGAAATACACAAAATAGTCTACCTAGTTTCTATCCACTCCTGGGTACTTTTGTATTTGTAATTTGTGAATATTATGAACAATGAATTTACTCAAAAATAGGTATTTTGTGTACTTTCCACCACTTGGTAATATTTGTATTTATAATATGTGAATATTCAAAATGTAATAACTCAAAAATAAAACATGTACAGTAACCTACTATACTACTTTCCACGACTTTGTACTAAATGTATTCATAATCTGTGAATATTCTGAATTATTCCTCCACCACTAACTAGTTTTTTTCTTTTTTTTCTTTTGTATATAAAAAATAAACGAGCAAATGTTAAATGAATGCACATTCATCACTAACAAGCAACATAACTTAAAATGTTTAATTTCTTGTCTACTCAGTTACTTTCCACCCTTGGGTGCTCTTTGTATTTATAAATTGTCCTTTTTTATGATTAATGGAATTACTCAAAAATAGGTATGTTGTTTTCTAAGTTACTTTCCATCATTGGGTAATATTTGTATGTATAATATTCAAAATAATTCAAAATGTGATAGCTACAATATAAACATAGTTAGTTGTTCTTATCTATTATTATTTGTAACTTATTTATATAGACTAAATACATGTTCAATTAATGCACATTCATCACTAACAGCCAATTTAACATAATATGTTTAATTTCTTGTCTATTTAGTTACTTTCCACGCCTGATTACTCTTTGTATTTATAATATATGTGAGTAGTCCAAAATAAGTCGTACTCACGACTGTGCACTGAAAGTATTCATAATTTGTGAATCTCCTGAATAAATCCTAAACCAATAAATAGTTGTTTTTTATATATAAAACAAATGGGTACATCATGTAAATCTAATTAATGCACATTCTTCACTAACACCCAGCACAACTTATAGATGTTTAATTTCTCGTTCTCGGGTGCAAACTGCAGGCTTTCACTTGTTAGTCAAATTAAAGCGTCTGGAGAGGTAGAAAGAGCAGGGAGAAATCATTAGAGAGGAATCCCAGGCATATGGCTGGCTTTTGTCGGCTCCCCTCCCCCTCCCGTCCCTTCCTTCCCTCCCTTGCTCCGCAGCAGCAGCAGCAGGACAGAGGTAGTTCAGTTTTTGAAGCCGTGGCATGAATGATCTCATCTGAACCTGATCTCCGCTTTCCCTGCCGTCGATCCTATGACCGAGACGGGAATAAAATAACACAAACACGAGGTGAGTACCGGGCCGTTAGTCGCCGTTGTTACCCGGCGAGACCGTGGTTTTTTGTTTTTTTTCCGGGGGAACTTAAACAGCCCAGCCGCGGTAAAAAAAACTCTTGTTTTTGGCTAGAAAAAGGAGGAAGGACCGCGGAGGATGTGTGTGGGTGGGCGCTGTAGGCTAATTAGCCGAATTCGCTAGCATTTATGTCGTACAAGCAATACATAAAGAAGGTTATATTGAGACCAACTGTTTTCATTTTTCTACTGTTTCACTGAACATATTAGCACAGTTAGCTTAGCTCATAAAGTCAGAGCCGTAGCTTAGCTAGTAGCCGGCTAGCTGTTAGCTACTAGCGCAAAATGGCCTCATTGTCGCTCGGTAGCTCTGATGCTGAAAAGACAAAGCATGCGGCAGTCACGGCCAGCAGCTCCGAGCCGCTCTCTTCAGCCGCTCTGCAAGCTCCACAACACCAGCTCATAACGCTTAATTAGTGTTATTCACAGGGAAATGTGAAAAATACAATGCCGCCGTGTTGTGAGTTTATTTACACGTTTAGTACGGTAGGCTGTGAAAGTGGAGAGGTTTCGGTGTGCAGTGGGGGATGGGTCATGCTAGCAGCCATTGACGTAAAGCAAGGCTGCATTCTGTTTGGCTCCTAGCATAATACAAGGGCTCAGTTTAATACAGAGGTGGAAGAAGTACAAAGTTGCACTACCAGATTTTAGGAATACTCTGTTACAATTCAAAGTCCTGCATTCAAAACGTTACTCAAGTAGAAAAGTATTAGCCTTAAAATATACTTAAAGTACCAACCGTACAAGTACTCATTATGCAGATTTCAGAACAATATATATTATGTTTTGATTATAATTATTATTGCATGTAAAGGTGCAGCTAGTTTTAATTTAAACCTGTATGCTGCAGGGTAGCTTGTGAATGTTACTCAAGGTGTAACTAAAGTATTATGTAAGGGTTGTTTATATTTCACATTATTTATTACAATCTGCTAAGTTACTAAATAAATTAAATGTTTGTAGCAGAGTAAAAGTGCAATATTTACCTCTGAATTGTCGTGGGGTAGGAGTACAAAGTAAAAGATAGACAAGTACAATTGTATTTAAGTACAGAATACAAATTAGTTGCTTTACACCAGTGGTTTAGTAGTCATCTTTATATAGCTGTGTATAGTAGTGCTGTGTTGCATATATACAATTGTCTAATACAACTTTTGTGACTACAATATTATTTGCGTAATATTTTTGTTTTTTTACATTTGATTACTCATTTCCTGCTAGACAAGTTTATTTGAACATCACATGTGTCAGCATTTCCTTGTTTTATCTTGTTGAAACTGTGAGTACATTTACATGACAGGAATGTGTAAGTTTAAACTATTGGTTGTGCAGGAAGTGGTATGGATCTTGACCGCTGCAATAAGCATCTCTGGCAGACAAATTATGTCCTAATAATCAATATATGTTTGGGTTATACTTGCAGCATTTGAAATGATAGGTGCCTATAAGAACATGATTCTTTTAGGGTGTCTTTGGTGTAAAGTTATTGCATTTTGTATTATTGTATTATAGTGGTTTTTCATGTCAAATTTGTCAGAAAATCTCTGAATATATTGAAAATATAATAGATACTGATAGTTGTAGTGTATATGTCTGATATTTTAGGGTAATCAAGATATCATTTTTGGTTCATTTACATTCTGTAGGTGTTATGTTTTTGCATCAGTTGTATGATGTGAGTTTGTCTGCTACAGGTGCGACATAAGAATGATCAAGTTATAGACCCAAGTCATTTAAACTCTGATTTATAAAACACATATTATCTTGAAATTTGACCCAAAAATGCTGAACCATATGGTGTTCAAAACCACCCTTTTTCTATATACCTGTAAATGTCATGTCCCAAACATGTCCCAAACTGTTGTTTCTTCAATTTGCAGTGTGCTTTCTCTCAGGTTGTAGGTCTTCCTGGTTTTATCCAATTGAACTTTTACTTGTTGTTGTTGTTGTTTTTTCTTCCGAGAGATATTGCTCTATAGTGTGTCTTGTTTAACAGGGACCAGCCACAAATGCACTACACAAGAAGCAAACATTTCTCCATAATTCTTTTCCTACCCTTTTTGTATTTTAGATCTACGGGCACTTTCATAAATGACTTTTTTCCTATTCTGTCCAATGTCAGGAAATGTCCCCTGTGCGAGGACTCAAAGAAAGTGAAGGCTCCCAAACAATTCAGTGTATATTAGATCTACTTCTTTTTTTTGGTAAGGGTTATATCATTCATGTGATCAATCAGGGGAAGACAGTAGCTGTAACTTAATCTTTCTTTCTCATTTCATGTCAGGTTGTCATGTGTGTAAAGAAGCAAAGTTATTCCCACATTAAAGGCTGGAGAGAAGGAGCGGAGAGTTTACAATCAACCCCAAATAAGAAATTTGTTTGACTATATGTTGATTAAATGTCAAATGTTACAATTGTGTTTTTGTCTTTCTAGTTTTTGGCTTCAAAATCTTGCACAACACTCCTGCAGTCTTACAGTGTGTTAATTTGGTGATGGTATGTAATTTGCACTGATTATAGGGTCCTGGTTTTGCCTGGTATTTTAAGATGAACATTTAAAGGAAAACAAATTCAGCTTTGTTGGAGATGAATTGTGACAATAACAGCAGTGTTTTCCATTAGCTTGATTTTGGTTTCCAGCAGAAATGTGGGGCTTCTTTTGTAAAATTGCTAACAACTCTTTGCTGTTTGCTTTTTACTCTGTAAACCCTATTGCTATGCTGTTACAGTCAAGCATGTATCAATACCATTGTCATTGTACCCCTGGTTTTACTTTTTTGTGATTATTTTTAAAGAAATGTATCACAAAGTTTAAATTAGGTGGATCATTCACCCAAAATGCCCTGCCAACACTGGCAGATTTTTTTACACGGGAGACACAGCTGGACACTGCACATTATTTTTCTGTCTGGAAAATTAAATGCCCCAGGCAACTGTTCAGACCTCAGTCTCCTTCTTACGATTATTTTTGGGGAGTCAGAGGGCCTTCAATGTTGGCAGGAGTGTTATTTTATTCCTGTAAGACAACTGTGTGCCAAACGGTGTGTAATAAGGAAGTTGACTCTACTCTTCTTCCCCTCCTTCAGTGAAGAGAAAGTGAAAATCTTGTTCTACTAGTTTTTGAATCTTGGCGTGTGTAGACCCGGAAACCTGTTATCCCTTGTAAATACTAGTGGTTCATGGTGGTGTATTGTATTGTGATATTGTCAATGCTATTTTTTGTCATATTCTTATCACTTTTACCCCCTTAAAAGCACCTATTGATTAGGATATTTTCTTGCTCACAGGTGGCAGTGGGAAAGAATATAAGTGCACTGATCATGTAACTTGAGTGCTGTGTTTGTTTTCTGACAAAGGTCTGTAGTCTGTGCTTACTTTGATGCAGCGTTTGCATTTAGTTGGTAACCATGCTATTTTCGGTGGCTCAGTGGTCTGTTAAAAGTGTGGTTGTTCCGCCCAGCAGGAGTCTTGCCTCAGACTGGCCTAAAATGGGCAGAAATGGTGCTGAACAAAAGCTGCTTGTCACTCGTACAAAAGTACTTGAAGCGTTGCAGCCGGGACCGAGCTGCATTTCTATTGCCTGTGCCTCTCAACAGGAAAGGTATAGCAAACTTTAAGAAAAAAACTACAACAAACATTTACTGTTTACTGTAGTCCATTGAGGGTTTAAACCTGTAGTTTATTTATAACGTCACAGCTGCTGTTGAGCAGCTTGTAGCTCCCTCATGACCATACACAGATAAAACACCACATAGCCTTATTACATCACACATTTACATAATTAATTACATGGCACTTACTTTTTTCACAACAATCTTAGCTAGTGAACAGTAGGCATTTTGTGTGTTGTAAGTGTGATACATTTACTGATTCTAAGATAAGTGTAAAATGTCTGACTTTTTTTCTTTCTCCCCGCCATCACCACAGAGAGACAACATGTTCCCGAAGGGCACCAAGCGCAAGTTCTCAGACCCCGGAGAGGAACCGGTCTCCGAGGAGGACCAGGCCCCGGTGACTCCATCTGCGGCGGCCCGGACGCTGACGTCTGCATACAGCCTACAGCGGCAGTCGCTGCTTGACATGTCGCTGATCAAGCTGCAGCTCTGCCACATGCTGGTCGAGCCCAACCTGTGCCGCTCGGTGCTCATAGCCAACACAGTGCGGCAGATCCAGGAGGAGATGACCCAGGACGGCACCTGGCAGATAATGACCCAGGCGCTGGCAGCCGCCCAGTGTCCCGCAGACCGCCTGGTGGCCACAGAGGTGCTGTGCCGGCAGACGGACCCGGCGGGGCAAAGCCCGAAGCCCTGCTCAGGGGCCGGCCTGGAGGAAGGCTACCACGCTGAGGAGGTGGTGATGGAGGGAGACGTGGAGACAGAGGTCACCATGTCCACTTTGTCGCCCGTCTCCCCCCAGCTGTCCTCGGCCTCGTACCTCGCAGGTCCCTTTGGCATGGGACCCTGCTGGGAGGAGGAAGAAGAAGATGGTGAGTGCGAGGAGGATGAAGAGGAGGACAGCGAGGAGTGTGCGTCTGAGAGTGAAGAGGGGGACCGGGACCACCTGAGCCCAGATACCAGGACAGGGGAGCAGGTTTTTGGGACTTTTGAGATCAAACACCCAGCGCCGCCCCCTGACCCTGCCCTCGAGGAACTGTTTTCAGATGTGGACCCGTCCTACTACGATCTCGACACGGTGCTGACAGGCATGCAGAGTGCTCCTAAGATGGGGCCTTACGATCTGCTGGAGAGCCTTTCCTCTCACGGGCCCACAGCCCTCAGCTCCAGCTCGAGCTGCAGGTCAGACCTGAACGAACTGGACCACATCATGGAGATCATTGTGGGATCCTGAAACTAAAAACATTCCTCTGGCCTGTCAGAGGCCTCAGACTCTTTCCAGACTATGCACAGTACACATGTGCATGTTCTGTATGTGGTATTGTTACACATGGAGATTGTTAGAGGTTTTGGGGACAAGGTAGGGAATTAACAGCAAGCCAAGTAGATTTTGGGATCGGCTGTTAGAGGTGTATTTAGTCTTCTAACGTCCACTTAGGCAAGTCGGCAGCTGCTGTTGGGACCCTCCTCTTTTATTCAGAAATTGTAATTGGCAGTTAAAGTAGAGATCAGAAATGAATGAATTTTGGGATTCACAAGCCACGTTGGTCTGTGGGTGAAGCGGTTAGTTTCCTACTTTGTTGATGAAATCCAAAACTTGACAATACGTGTGAGAGAGGGCGAAGATAATTACCTATACCATGATGCATTCTTATTTACGTACTTTCCATGTTTACGTCTGTCATACATTCTGTCGTACTAGCTCCTTCTGGTCGTATTCTCTGCCATTCTGTCCATTTTCTATTTATTGTATCATGGACTGAGGAACAACTCATCACACTACATGCATCAGAAACAGAACAAATTGTAAATCCAAATCTATGAATCAATGCATATTTTCCTAAAGATTTGAGCAATTATGAATGGAATATATGTATATGTACGTATGTGTATATAGAAATATATTTTTTGCATTATACAGCTGGGGGATTTTGCAAGTATCATTTGATATTAATTATTATTTTTCCCTCCCAAGCGGTTTTTAAGATTTTAATGTAGCCAGACTCGAGACAGTGTCTTCCCATGGTTTGGTAAAAACAAGTCGACTGTAACAGGTTTCAGGACTGGCATCGAAACACTTTTTCAAGGCGCTGTTCTTTCATTTTCTCAAAAGCTTTACGCACGGCAGGGAAATAACTGCCGGACACCAACCAAATGCTGGATAACATTTGACTGTTTCTGTTAAGTTAACAGTAGCCAGTGGTAAAACGTAAGTCATTTTCCTGCCCTGTTTTACATACAGATCTAATAACAATAATAACAACAGCTTTTTTTCCGGAAGCATTTTTGGAGAAAACCCCGGGGTGATAACTGCATCAAGAAGCCATATTTCTTTCTCTAATTTGTTAGAACAACAAATGAAGAGTTCTGTTTGTCAACCCAACCTAATTTATTGTTTTATTTATTGTATTTATTATATCTAGGTACCGACATGCCATATTGACGTATCAATTCAACCACGAGGCCCGATGAAATTATATTTATCCAAATTTTCCCTCCGTTTTGAATGCAGTACCTATTTATTACTCACATTTTTTTATTATTATTAGCAGTAATAATAATAACCGGGTTACTATTCAGATCACTATGCAGCTCTGTCATACGTGTTTCAAAATGATTGTATACGACTCAATGTCCTTTAATTCTTTTATGCAAACAGTTGCCTTTTCTCCTAAAGATGTGGAAAAATCAAATGCATTTTTCAAAAAATTGTTCATTATCATCGTGATGAAGAGATTTAACTCAGGCAAACTAAATGTATTGACAAAAATACAGTATTACGACACGCTTATTACCTTACCACAACACTCCTGAAGGATGTCACTCTGGTCTGAATGGGAGCTAGAACTTCAAAGACTAATTACCGTTGTAAAATGTATGCATTTTTTTATATTAAGGAAAAACATTGTAGCATCTTTGTAAATATTTTTTATAATAAAAGGTGCAACTATTAAATGTGTGAACTGGATCAATCATTTTAGTATTAAGCATATTTTATCTTGTTTTCTTACTGCTTTAAAAAAGGCTTGTTTGTTTGACCTATTGGCCTTATGAAAGATGAAAGATAAGGCTCGTCAAGACACTGCAGGGGGGGGGGGGGTAACAGATTGTATGTAAAGGGTTATGTAATCAGGATACAGAAAAAAAGGTAACTGTTCCCTTACTGTTACATAAAGTAGACGTAGTTAGATAACTGGTCATTTTTTTAATAAAGAATGGGGATTCCTAGCAGTCCTTAAGAGTAAATGGAAAGTTGCAAGGCTGGAAATTGTACGATATTTTTCTGAACAAAATGCCACTGCAACCATGAAAAGGCAAAACATGCATCAGTATTTAGAGTTGTCTTTACACAACATAATTAAAATCAAGAAATATATTACGAGAATTGGGACAAACTTTCAAAGCTTCAACCACTTTGTAAAGAAATTTGCCTTCAGAAATACAGCTACAACTACCGTGCCTATTTTTTATACTTGATTCATCTACAGATATTTTACAATGACCTGTTAAGCCCATGAAAGGTCAAACAATTGCTATAATAACTTCTCATAACGGTCCACTGCAACTCTGACTACTTTTAAATCCAGGCTGAAGACTTTTCTTTTTGCCGCTGCTTTTAATTGAGCTATTCACATCTTAAACTGCACTGTAAACTTGTATTAATGTATTTTTTCTTTTAATGTTTCTTTTATTATCTTTGCTTTTTAATGACTGTTTTTAAATGCCATTTTCTTAATGTCTTTTCTTTTTGTAAAGCACTTTGAATTACCTTGTGTTGAAAGGTGCCAGATAAATAAACTTGCCTTGCCTTGCTAAACAGTATTTCTTTAGATGCCTTGCTTTGTTCAAACAAAAACCAAAAACAGTTGCCACAAATATTTAGTTAACATCAACCATCCCATTGAGCACGGGAAGTCCTATCATTTGAGAAGCTTGACTTAGAGAAACATGGAATTATTTCACTACATCTGCCTGAAAAAGGACTGAATTGATAGAGGTAAGTGATGAAGGTGTATTGTGCACTGCTATAGTAACTGCTGAGGTTTCTTATGGATGATTTTTCAAAATGAAAATGAATTCGATGTAACTCTGGTGCTCTCACATGATGACACGTGCTCTCACATGATGACGTGAGATTCTGTATGAGATATACAGAGAGTGTTTGATTCAACAGAACTTCTGTTTGCACAATGATTACACAACACCTGTGCATAGTGGGTTTTTTTGTTTACTCATGATGAATGCTGCTTCTATTCTGCTGAATAGAGATTGTTCACAGTCTTGAACATGCCCAAAGCCTTGTCTTAAACTGCCCAAAAGTAGCTGTTCATAAAATCCTTGCTCAATGTGCACGTTGGCCTGCTGCCTAGCCTTCGTTTGCCCATAGTTAAAGATTAATGGACTCTCGGTGACTCGGCAAAAAAGCAGCCTGAGGAAAGAACGAGTCATGAGAGAAAGAGACTATTGTGTCTTAAAAAAGCAGCAACACGGAGAACACTAAATGTGATGCAGAAAATCGGTGCAGTTACAGAAATGCTATTCTACTTCAATATAACATACTGAACTTTGTATTACATGTGTTATCTCTCAGTCGACTACATTGCCGTTAAAACATGTGAGTAGTTAATAAGTGCTTGTTTTAGCCTTCAAGGGCTTATTATTAACTTGTAATATGTAAATACAACATTTTTCACAAAGGAAAACATTTTAATTGGACGTAATAACACAATATATACCACCTTTTTAAACTACTTTAAATTAGCTACCTTAACGCAACTTACAATTATTTGTTCATGTTTTTAGGGACAAACCGCTAATTAACTAACCCTAACATGCTTAATGGTCATGACTTACTCACTAGACGTTGTCGTTTTTAATGTGTTTGACACCAATTTAAAGAGCTCAAAGGCACATTAGAATTCATTATGTGTTTTTGATGGATTTTAATTAACTGCATATGTCTCCAAATCACCACAACATAAGGTCAGGAAATACTTAATATAATAATGTATTAATGTTGGATATTTACTTTCTGTTCAGAAGAAGAAGAAGAAGAAGAGGAAAGAAGAAGTAGAAATGCTGCGAGGGCTTCAGGAGGAAGTGGCTGAACATCGTGAATGAAGAGTCTCCTTATTTGGTGTTTGCCCTCCCCCATCTTTCCTGTAGACCCCCCCCCCCTTCTGACTCACTGGTCCCTTTAAAATGCTGCGTTCAGGTGCACACTGCCACTTTCTAGGCTTTCTAGATATTTCCAACGCTGATATGTAGCCCTACACGTTTTTATATTTTATTGAGGATCCTAATAAAAAAACGAATTGATCGTTGTGTGTATTTCTATTCACGATACTCGGGAATATCCTTTCTAGTGATTTGAAAGCTTGAAAGGATGTTCACAGATGATGTGTTTCTTATCTGTGATGCAATAAAACATATTTGGTTCTTCACTCCAAAAAGTTATTAAAATCGTATGACATTGAAATGTTCTTTACAATTATTCCACCCATTATCAGTATGTATCAGGTCAGGCTAACATTCAAGGTTATTCATAAGCTTAGCTTTTGACACTTTAAGTACAATCATCAGATAATATGTGACTTATACTTAAGTAAAGACACATTTTACACTGTGGAATTAGTAGGGTAAATAAATATCAATAGTTATCCCACCTGACCTTTGTCAACCAAAATATTTGTTGGAGTCGTACAGATATAAATTATATATTTTTGAGTTTTAGTGTTTTTTTTATGTGTATTTTATATAAAAATCAGGATTTAACACTGACACCGATCACATAAGTCAAGACATAACCAATTTCAACGCTCACGTTGTCCTACAATCTTCTCACTGATTGTTATGGGCTGTCCCTGAACGCAGCATCAGTAACCAGCCGCTTCACATTCGCTGCCCCGTGAGTGACGGAGGCGGAGGTTTGATCGGCAGGGGATCTGTCCAATCAGCGCCACCCTGTGATCTCCGAAACCCCGCCTCCTGCTCTTCCTCCCCCAGCTGCTGCTCTACGGAGCATTCCTCATCTTCCTGGGGCTCGAGAGCAGAAGAACGCGGCGACGAAAACCTACCAAGCCGAAGACACGACGGATTCAAATCCCTTATGACACTTACCGAGGGCACGTAAGGTTAGTTTTAACCTCTTTCTGATGGTTTATTAAAAACAAATCCTCATGTTTAGTCCTAAAACTTGGTTTGAATGGAGCTAGTTTTTCCCTTCTGAAGTCCGTTAAAGGGGGTTGGGGGTTTACTCAGGGATCCTGGGGAAGAATAAGTATGATGGAGTGACATTGTTTTTATATTTTACTATTATAAAGAGAAGAAATGGTTGGAATAGGTTGTTTAATCATACATTTGAGTTGATTTGGTTGTACATCTCTGTTAAATAAGACCAGGCTGCTTTTAATCTCCTCACTTGGGGGTTAAACTCTCATCAAATGGGGCTTTATGTGTTCCCATCTGTTATTTGAGAAAACATCTGAGAATATGATCAAACTAATAGACAAATGTGTCTCTGTAACGATGAGTAAAGTCTCTCAGTCTCACAGTGAGTCATACACCAGTTTTAATGTTCACTTTGAAATGTAAATGTAAAAAGCAGGTTCACCTTGTAAAACTTGTACAGATTGAGAATAATGTGTCTGTAGTTGATTGAAATTAATTATTAATTATATTAATGTAGTTTAATGTGGCTGATTGATTGAAAATGAATGAGAAACTAACTAGCCATGGTGCTATTACATAAACTGGATGCAAGGTTTATTACATGGCAGTGCAGCCTCATGGGATCCTCAATGTGTCTCAGTGATCCCAAGAAACAAGCACCTGGTTTAAGATGCTACTAGCTAAGTTTCCTGTTCAAAAGTTAAGAGTTTAGTAGACAGCAAGTCTTTATGACTTTATAAAATTACAGGTGCTTGTGTGTCTTAAAGCTTAGCTTAATAATCAATTATTTGATCTACAGAAAATGTATAACAATTTACATTTTTTCAATAATTAAATGCTCTTGTTTTATTTAGATATTAGTCCATGATTTTAAATTGAATGAATGATCGATAATATAAAGAATAAATCAGCCTTTTAGTTTTTTGTAATTTTGTTTGATTCAGACAAATGTTATGAGTAAAGGCAGTGTTTTCACTCTCTCTCTTCTACTTGGGTCGCGTCTCTGTCTTACAAAGTTGATAACACTTAATGTAGACGATTTTTCTAATATGACAGAATTTCAATTTGGCAGAAATACACTTAATACCGGTGCCATTGTAGAATACAAAATGTAAATATATTAACATTAGCTGCAATACTGCAAAAATATGAACATAAAGTCAATCAATGCATATTGGCGTAATGTGATTTACATCAACCTTGAATGTTAATCTATATATATGTGTACCAATGTAGGTCGATGTTGGGTCGCGGTGTGAAGCGGAAGTGGAGCTGCCTGGAGGAGCTGGAGGCCGAGGCCCGCCCTGCTGCTGCAGAGAAGGAGAGGGATGGGAAGGAAGGTCAGGGAGATGAGGACGGGTTCCTTGTGGGTCCGTCCAAATCCGCCATGAACCACCTGCAGCAGCGGCAGCTCGTGCTCGGCCTCTGCATGGAGAAGCTCCAGAGCTACCAGGCCGGCATGGAGCTCAGCCTGCGGCGCTCCGTGCTGCTCATCAACACGCTCCGGCAGATCCAGGAGGACATGCAGAGCGACGGGACGGGGACTTCGGAGACGCTCCTCAACCACACAGACTCCTGCCTTCCCAGGGAGGACATGCAAGTTACGTGCCCTGGGTGTACAGAGGAGGATGGGGACAGCCTTTCTCCGCCGCTGTCCCCTGAGTTTCCTTCCCAAGAGGCAAACAGCTCGCCAGACCAGCAGAAATCACTTCCTGCTGCAGCGATTAATACTTTTAGTGAGGCAGTAAACGCCATGGGCTACCTCAGCGACCTCGCCCTGGACGACATCTTCGAGGACATTGACACATCAATGTATGAGACTTCAGAACTGCCTTCGGCCTGGTCGGCGGGCTCCCTGTGGCCCATCAGTGTGTCGCTGTGGACGGACGAGGACGTGAAAATGCGTCCTCCTAGCCTCCCATCGGCTGGGAGTCTCCAGTCGCGTCTGATGGACCTGAACGAGCTGGACCACATCATGGAGATTCTGGTAAAGTCCTGATCACCAAGATGAACTCCTGAACATTTACTCAAAGAGTCTGATCGCAGCTGAGGACATGACCTTCGATTTTTAAGGCAGCATCTGATATTTGGGTTGAAAAGGCGATTTTTCAACTGGAGTTCATTCCTATGCAAATAACTCTTATGAAAATCCATCCAAAAGCTTAAGTTATTTGCATGAACACGAATATTTATAACAATAGATGGAGAAACCATTTTAAATATGTTTAGGAAACAGACACTCTTTTACATTGTCTTGGTTGCTATAACTCAGGTTGCTAAACACTTGATGTGTTATGTGACGGCACCTACAGGTTTTTCTAGAAGTATCATTGGAATTAAATATAGGAAAACTTAAGCTATCAAATAATATTGTTGACATTCAACAAGTAAATGTTATTTCAAACAGACAGAGACTAATTTCTGCTGTTTTAGGATAGGTTGTGTGGGTCAATAATCTGTAGTAAAAGAACATGAGGCATGTCTAGACAAAGTCGATACACCAATAGTGTTTTGCAACCATAGTAAAGTAACTGTAAAAGTGTCTAAAGTAGATTTTCCTTAATTTAGTAAAAATGATGATTCAGTTGGACCGTTAAATATCCACAACACATTGTTTATACCACTTGTCTTTCCAAGTTTTTTTGTAGAAAGCAGCATCTCTCTGAGTGAATTTGCCAGAAGAGGAAACCTGAGCTTCCGTGTTTTGTGCGTCACTCAGACTGTAAGATCAGACCTGAGTTGATTATTAATTGAAATCCCGTCAATTACTTAAGAGGTGTGTCCTTCCAGCGTTGGGACTGAAAGACTTCTATGGCTCTACGTAGGCTCTTTGAATCAGACATCAACCAACAGTCTTTGTGGCTGTGTTCATGCAGCAGTCAGAGTGGTGGACAGTCTCTCTCTATATATATAAAAGAATAATGTGGCCACTGAATTTGGGGATATCCAGCCAAAGAAGTATCAAGTCCCCAGAGATTAATGCCACGCTCACAAGAAGCAGGAACAAATAATGACAAGATGTTTAAATGTCGGAACGCGTTTTATCTAATATTCTTATTTATGAATGAAAAATCCACCGCAATCTGCAGAAGATCGTTTTTCTATGTTTAATTTCTTGTTCGGGTGTGAGTGTAAGTTATAATTCAGATTCTTTATGACAAACTATTAGAAGCCTGTACGTGAATTACTCGCGGTTGACGTGAACAGTTTATCCTTGTCGGCAGCTTTACGGTAAATGCAACATGTCATGAAAGCAGCTTAAAACATGTATTTCAAATTGTTATGTTAACCCAGTCTGGTGCTGACTGAGGAGCCCATCGCCTCAAGTCAACAATCAGGACTACTTTGCCATGTCTCAGAATTGTAAACGACAACAGAAGCCTACAGTATGTATTTTATGGCCATGATGGTATGACTTCTATTGCAATGTACAAAAACATATATATGTGTTTCTACCTGAAACTCTAATCCCCTGTCTATGATTTTCTATGTGTGGTTTCCTGTTCTACCTCCTGATGTCTCTTCGTCTACCTGGACACTCCTGTTTGTCACTGAAATATTTGCTATTTTTCACGGTTTTAACTCGGCTGAATATCCAATTCATTGCAATCCAATGCTTTCCTGTCAGACCAAAGCAATCCATCCTCATCTCCTTCTCATTTTAAAATGTGCCTTACTACTGAATTTAATTTTGATGAATAGATTTAAGTGGTTGGCTGAGCTCGAGCTTCATTTGTAAAAACCTCAAAACTGAAGCGAGGTGTTCTTTAAAGCACCTTTTGTTTGTTCTCCTTTATTTGCCTTTTTTTTCTGTGCTCGATGAACACTAGTGGCATATGAGCTTAATGTATCCTGACAGGATGACAGGAAACTAGCTGAGGGAGGAGGTGGTAGCGAGGGCCATGAGGGAAAAATAAGAGGAGGACATGGAGGTGGGAGGAGGGGTGGGGGGAAGCTACTTGCGTCACTTGTTCAGTAGGAGGGGTTTAGAGACTCAGACCACCGACCAATCACAGGAGATGTACAAGGAGCCTACTGCTGCTGCTCCAACAACAACTTGTTTTTGCTCCTCATGCACAGAAATGCAGTGTTGGATTTCAGCGTCTGAAATGAAACCACTTCTCTGTTTTCTTTCTTTGTTTGTATTTGTTCTATCTGACAGGACCGAGTACAGAAAGCAGAAAGCTGCAGTGTTATTTATAAATGTATGGGTGTCAGTAAAGCACAAGCTGTATGTTGTCCATGCTGATTATGATATAAATATAACCGAAGGATGCTAAGTAATGAAATGATCATTAATAATGTATTGTATTTTTTGTGAAATATTTTATAGATTGTATTCAATAATACAGTTAGAATACCAGAAACTGCCTTGTCTGAGTCTTTATTCTTCATGCCTTTTCTTTTGAGGGTTTCTAGGGGGGTCAGATATGTAAATATCACATCCAATTTGCAGAAAAACACCTCATGAAACAAATATTACTCTAATTTCTACTAAACCATCCCTCTGCACCCCCACCATGCATACACAACGAGGTGTCAGTCATTCATCATGACTGACTGCATGTGGGTTTCTGCAGTTTTGCCTTGATTGAGGCCTCACAGGGAATTTGTACGCAAACTTCCCCCTAATCCTGCCTTATTTAGCGATTGGTTTGGCCAAATGTGTAAACATCCTTTAACCTAAAGGTAGACATGTTTGGAAAATACCGTTTTTTACGACAACCATGACATCTACCAAAAAGAACATTTGATATCATGTTACTAATACACTGTTTAAATTAGGTCTGCAACTAACAATTATTTAAGTTTTCAATTATTTTCTTGATTTATTATTTTGTTTATGTCTTAGTTTGGTCGATTAAATGTCATAAAATTGTGAAAAATGTCCTCCAGTGTTTCCCAAAGCCCAAGTCTAAATATATTAGTTTACTCTCATAGAGGACTAAAGACAATTGAAAGATATTTACATTTAAGAAGCCGGAATCAAAGCATTTCTTTGCTCATAAAGAAATTACTAAAACTGAATCAAACTAGTCTGTAAATAATTTTATGGTTGACAACCTATTGATTAATCTTTGCAGTTTTACAGTAAATAATCTAGCAATTTACTTAAACATATATGTTTTGATATGCAGTTATGGTTATAGACTCTCTTCAACCTATTAAAATCGTATTTCTTTAGCACGATTGATTTGTCACACATTATAACACAATTTAAAGATTAATTTGACCAATAATATTATCTTTTGTTTTCTAAATGTTCAATAGATAGCACAATCAAATCGTTATTGTGAATTGTTTTGGCCAAAATGTCGTGGCAGTTCTGCTTTCAACGTTATAGCTTGTTACAGGCAGGAATTAGCCTGGGAAGCTGCACTCAGGGCAAAATACCCATCAGTCTGATTTAACAGGTTAAAAGGAAGCCAAGTCTGCCCTCTGGTGGTCATACCACTGAAGAGCAGATCGGTGCTGCTGAAGGTAAGCATGACGGTGCAAATTCAAAATGTCTGTTCAGTAGTGTGAGGAGATGCTGTGTTTTTGTAGCTTTACCACAAACTGATGTTTGCACAAAGCTTGCCTTTGTACTCGAGTAAAATAAATACTAGTTCTCCTTACAGTTGTGTACACAGAGTTCCTTGCACCGTCACTGGAAACGTTCCCACTTATTTGAGCGAGATGCCAAATCCCATGTTTCACCCTCTGCAGCACTACATGACAATGCATCTGCAGGTTATGAAAAATATACACATTGCAAAAATACTACTATACAGAATATGTTGTTTGTTTATTTCTCTTGTTATAAATGTACGGCCCTCAAGGATTTTTTAACCCATAAGGACCCACCGTCATATGAACTTTAAATGTTCTGGAAAGTTCCTTTTACAGCTTTAGCCTTGTTTTTATCTCATGAAGTCCCTAAGTGACACACACTGAACAGTCTGGTGGGTCATGGTCCAGGTCATGTGACTTTGTGTTCCCATGACAACATGTCCAAGTGCCAGGCTAACACATGTGACATAACGAGCTACATTTCAAAAGCTTTTTTTTGTTGCTAAAGGTCAAATTCAAGCCATTTAAATTTTAAAGCCATCGGGACTTTAACCCTAAACTTTCACAGTAAACCCAAAGTGACATATGTGCACAATTAGAAATATGATTATGATCTGCTCAGTTAATTTAGCTGATTCAATTATATTTAGTTAATATATTCTTTATTCTTCAATTCAAAGAATGTAAAAACTAATTTAAACCAAAAAATCATCCTCGTTAATGAAGTTATAAATAAGAGTTATTTTACCATTAAAGCCCAGTTATTTTACACTCGGGTCTAAATTATGTTCCCCTTCATTTCCCCAAAAGTAGAATTGGGTCCGGGTTCTTATGGGTATATTAAAAAAAAGTTAAAGGAATAAATGATGTTTGATGAAATAAACAAAATACATTTCAAGGTAAAAGGAATATCACAAAATGGAAATAATCAAATTAAATTTCCTTAAACTTTGACTTGCTTAAACGTCAGGTAATACGTGTGCTTAAGTACTTCCTACCTCTGTAATCTCTAATAAAACAAGATCAATGAAAGTTGTCCATATTGGTGCCTGGGCTTACATTGACCTCAACGCATCTACATGGAGCCTAAAGTCTGCAGTACATCATAAAGTATTAGTTGATTTAGGCTATATTTGTATTGATTATCTTAATCTGCATAGTAACTAACTGTTAGACACATGTAATGAGGTAAAAAGTAAAATATTATCCTCTCAGATGTAATATATATTGTATAAAGTATGTGGTATAAAGCAAACAATGGAAAAACCCAAGTAAAGCAACTAGAAATTGTACTTTAGTATATTACTTGAGTAAATGTGTTCATTTACTTCCCATTCATCTTTCCGTGTGCTACATTCTTGGCCAGTAAAGCTGACGTGTTTTTCCCTCTTGCAGTCTGCTTTTCCATTTATTTTTAACTACATTTCTTCTCTCTATCAGTTCAGTACAGAGTCTGATTTCCCTCCAGAGGATAAGACAGAAGCAGAGTTACAGTATGTGGTGAGAGGACAGGAATTCAGGGAGTGGTCAAACATGAGGAGGAGGAACACGTGAGCTACTGCTAACCACTGCTAATGCTGCCATTAAACACATGTCTATGTATGTATGTATCTTTCATTGTGTATCTATCTACAGATATATTTGCATATCTATCTATCTACATATCTACAGATCTATCTTCATATCTATCTACATCTCTACATATCCATCTATCGTTGTGTATAGGTGTATGGCGTGATCAGAGTGCTGCGGTGTGTCGGTCCGGGTTTAGTGTTTCTCTGCAGACATCAGTTTACTGCGGTGAGTGAAGCCGGGGTTTTGCTGACTCAGCACAACCTCACAGAACAAACATCCTCTGCTGCAGAACAATGGGATGGACCGACGGCTGATGGATAGATCCAGCAGCACATGGGGAGATTTTAATGTAACAAAAACAGGTGTTATCCAATTAAATTATGTATGAGGTCGGCTGCAGCATGAGTAATTTCTGATGTTGGGCACGGTCACTACTTAGCTCTAGGGTTGTAACAACTAGATATCTTCATAGCATATTGTATTATTTATTTTAATATTTATAGCTATTATTATTATTATTCTAATTTTAATAATAATAATAATAATAGCTTCGATTTCTATAGCGCCTTTCAGGGGACCCAAGGTCGCTTCACAAGTAATAGTGCAAAGACAAACATAACAAAACAAAAGACAGACAAACAGAACAACAGATCGATTTAGGGGCCGAAAGCCTTGGCAAACAGATGGGACTTGAGGGCCCTTTTGAAGGCTTCAAGTGTGGGGATGTTGCGTATCTCCGCAGGGAGAGCGTTCCAGAGGGTGGGGGCTGCCACACTGAAGGCTCTGTCCCCGTAGGTTCGCAGTTTGGTGCGGGGGGTGGTAAGCAGGCCAGAGTCTGAGGACCGCAGGTTCCGGGGTGGGGCATGTGGGTGAAGGATGTCCGATAGGTACTGGGGGGCAAGGGCATGGAGGGATTTGTAGGTAAGGAGGAGGATTTTGTAGTATATGCGGGACTTGACCGGCAACCAGTGTAGGTGGATGAGGGTGGGAGTGATGTGCTGCCACGGTTTTGTGTGCGTGAGTACCCTAGCAGCACAGTTTTGGACATACTGGAGCCTGTCCAGGGTTTTGTTGGGAACCCCGAACAGGACACCATTGCAGTAGTCCAAGCGGGTGGTGACAAATGCATGGACTAGGGTTTCGGCAACCGACTCCGAGATTAATAATTTTAAATTATTATATCTTTTTTTATTAGTTACAGTGACCCTTTATGTAATAAGAACATCATACAAATAAAATAAAAACAAATACAAACTGGATGAAATGAGTTTAACACTATAATGTTATTGAAACTAAAGCCTGTTGGTTGATATGTTAGCAGCACCATAGTATGTTCAATTTACATGAAAAATGACATTGATACCTGATCACTTTTAAATATTGTCAGATTATTATTAACAATTATCATGTGGCGTACGTGCTCCGGCATGTACCTTTAACACACACAGACCAACACACTCACTTAAGTCAGTTTTGCTCCATACTACACAGTATATTATAAAAAGTAAACGTTATAATAACCACCAACTTTAATAGTGCTCACAAGGAGTGGAAAAAAACAACACGTAAAGGATAGGTTCCCTGATTATATTATTATTATGAACCCATATGAACACTGTAACACATTCTTCTGGCCATTAAAACGAAGGTATTGATGGACAAAATCCATTAGAAAGATTATCTGAAGCAGAAATATGAGGCTTCAGTTAGTGTTAGAGTTAGTCAGATCCTTTTTTAAATCTTCCAAATGTTGTTAGAAGTCCTCTCTGCATTTCCTTAGACAGTGTTGAGCTGCAGTAGATTCTTTTTTTACTGATGGAAAGTGTATCCACTTGATTTATCTTACTCAGACTGCTGACGCCTCAAAATAACTTCAGATAAACTTGATACCCAAACACATTTTCACACAGAATGATGACTGTGTTTTTTATTCCCCACTTACTGCATGCAAAATGCATGAAGAAGGGAAGGGGAAATGTTTTAATGTGCATATGGGCACAGTTTTTGTCAAGAAACACAAAGAAATACATCTTTTAAATGTAATCATCAAACAAAGTAGTAATAATTTTAAAGTTATACAAATGTGCAGTTTCATGTGAATCACAATTTTTCCTTTAAATAATAAGGTGTGTTTCCTTAAGAGCTAAAAGAGTTTCATGTGTCTGGTTTTAGAGCAGAGTTTTAGCACCTCATGCTGGTCTAAAAAAAGCTGCTTTTCTCCTCAGGGTCAGTCAGAAAC